ATTTTGACCTTTTACTACGCTAATTTGGAATGAAGTTAGAATTGGTTATGTGTTAATTATTCTTAGCGAATTATGTACGCAAAGCTGTTAAGGGGATTTTAAATATTATATATGTAAAATAAATTGGTACGTTAAATTATTTACATTTAATTTAATCGTGTTGCATTCATTAACAAATTGAACAATCCTAATGCAATGTGTTGTAAATACTATACGTCAGATTTCATCAATAGCACCTAAATATGATTAGATAATAAAGTGTAGGTAATCGTTTAGATTTATTAATATGTCTTCTAAAAATAAAGATATTGGAGTTTATACTAGAATATGCTAATTTAATCTTGAAGCTGATAGTAACATACAATCTAGATAACATTTTTGTGAATACATTCTTCATTAATTCATTTCCTTTGAGAAGCTTCTAATTCATGACCTTCTATTTTACAATGTTTCCTTTTCCTCAGATCAAATTAATTAGGAATAATAAAAATATTATATTTTATTTTAATAAATATTTAATATAATATTTGATATAGGTATGAATGTATATGTATATGTATATATATATATAATCCGTACCCGACTCAAAGGTCAATATACGAGTATATATATATGATAACGACAATACGAGTAATATATATATGACCTAAGATGAGCTCGTAAAAATATATCCGTGATTGGTTAGACATTTTGAGAAATTGTGATATAAGTAATTTAAATTTATAAAATAAAAATATATTTATATACAATTTGTACGTTTATTAATAAATTTTTAATGACTAAAAAAGTCAATCTACAAAATTGAGGGGTGTATAAGTGTGATATTTAGATGTCTGAAAATGGAAAAATTGTTATATACCTACATATGTAAATGTTGTAATTAATCTACCTATCTACTTCATTTAAAAATATATTTTCTTTTTTTTATTAGACGAAGATAAAACTCGTCTATGCAAGTACAAGACACAACTGGAGCATGAAACAATGAAGGTGAAGTCATAACTTGGTGAATTCAAGAAATACAATAACTATTTACAAATTTTTGCATTTATAATAGACATTTGTAAGATTAGAAATCAGAATTTGATGTTGCAAGTGCTTATACACCCCATAGGTAATAGTCATATCAGATTCGTGCCAGTTCACACGAGAAACTGTTCAGACTGTCCTTACGCAATTGAATGTTTTGCCAGCGTAGATGTGGTTCATTCGATTGACAATAGGAACTTGTGAAATGGAACCAAACTGTCCTATAAGAAAATGTATTTGATTTGTTTTTTGTATTAATGAGGAAAGTAACTACAGATTAGAAATACACTTTAGCAATTACAATACAATTGTAAACCAGTACATTTCGTTCCGCAAAAATGCAACTACAAACATGCACACATACATACCAATTACATTGAAAATATTTGAATTTAGAATGCGGAATCGGATGTCCATAAGTTTTGCTTTGCAATGAACAGTTTCAATCAGTTTAGAATTGGCGATGATATTGCGTAACATAAAATTCACGCACGCATACACAGACACATGAATAGAGGCGAATTGGAACCTCTTTATTTTTTTAATACAAATTGAAATATATTAGATATGAATAGATACTTGCCATAAAAATAAAGCCCATTATGTGGATGTATTAGAGTAATGCGCATGTGGGCGTAAACGATCATCGCTGCCGATCATATCAAGTACACTATGAAATGTTCTATTGACCTAGTTTGTATTTTATGTTTCATTAGTCTATTCATTTCGTAAAATAATTTAAATGCCACCATGTAATAGTATTTTATTTTTTAAATACTTAATTCATATGCACAACATATGAGACCAATTAAATGCCATATAATATTCCCCAAAACCTAAAAGTGTTAAAGTTACTACTTGAACCATTGCATGCTACAGAGGGAGACTGTACAAAAGTCGATTGCTTGGGTACCTCTGTCCCATTCGTGTTTCTACCGTAAAGCAGTTGTGTTTGCATAGCTGTGTTTCGGTTTGAAGGGTAGGATATGGCGTGAATTTATTGGGTACAGAGGAATAACACCTGAGTCCTCAGGAATGGCAACGCATGGGAGGTATCATGGGCGAAACAGTATACTCTGTTATGTCCATGGTACTGCTCATGTCTATAGGCGACGGTTACCACTTTATATCAGGTGGGCCGTCAGCTTGTTTGCCATTCTAAGTTGTATAAAAAAAAATTCATTATAATGCTTAGTGTCGTAGATTCACCCTGAACAATGAAGGTGAATTATCTGTAAATATTAATTTAGAATGCGGTCTATTTGTGTTACAAATTTTATTTAAAGCAATGAAGGTTTTACTGGAATCCTTGGGATTTATACTCTTTATTGTACTTGTAAAAAAAAGACAGTGATTAGTTTATCAACTTATTAGCAAATGTGAGCTTATCTCTGAAAGAGATCCCTTCCAGTCAATTCAATACAGTGAGATCGAAAACGGCTAACGGGTAATGTAGTACAGGAAAGGTACAAGAAAAAACATGCGTATACACAAAGGCAATTAAGTACTTACTAATAAAATAAACATATACAAATTGTAAATAAATACATGTGTATATGTAAAAATATACTTCCTACACGACACTATGGGCAGACTGTGGGCTTTTTCGTATTTTTATCAATATTAGCATTACATACATATCACTAAATGTTATCAAATTTATTGCTTCAACCCAGTTTATAGTCACGTTAACCATTGAATTTTAATTTATGTATGGTTTTTACAATCCTACTCGTCAATATTAAATATATGCAGGTAGCTCGGCTCAATGCTGTTCTTAATATAACCCGCATGGTTTATTGGTTCAGTCGACTAAAAATAAATAAAATTTTGCCTATTTACTCCATAGTCTTAGATAATGATAGATAGAACTCTAAGCATAGGTACAAAAATGTGGACGAAAAGACTGTATGATGGTATGGAAACACGGTGTTTTAGAAAGATAATATACGAGTAATTATATAAAAAAATATACAAAGCAAACCACCGGAGCAAAAAAGCGAAGCGAAACAAAACATAAACTGACACAGACTTCAAATTATAAACAAAATATCTTTTTAATAAAATTAAAAAAGAAACTAACAAGGTGCATGGTGCACATCGTCTTAGTGTTAGGATAATTATCATTGTTAATTAATTTTTACCTACAATCTGGGATCGATCGGGATAGATCAATTGACCGGGGTAAAATGTAGCCTATATCTTTTTACACACCAAATACTACATTTTCAATATTAAGTTTAATGACGATTAGTTAAGCCGTCTACCAAAAAGCAAAGTTACTTTTTAATAGCATATATGTATACAATTTTTGTACCATTGAGGTGGCAAACAAACATACGGCCCACCATACCGTTACCGTAGCCTATGAACGTCTACGATATTAGAGGTATTACGCGCGCGTTGCCGACTGAAGAAATCTCTTTACTCCCCTTTTGAAGAACCCCATGCAGTAGTCTCTTGGAAAATCCTCGACACGGAGCTCATTCCATAACCTGAGTGTTCGTGGGAAAAAACATCTCTGAAACCGCATTGTACGCGTCCATTTAAGCTTTAGGGTGTGAGGGTGAACTCCCTGTCAATGGCGAGCTGTACGATGCATGGTACAAAGTGGCTGTAGGCATCATATTGAAAAATATATATTTTCTAAATATAGAACGTATATAAAAGTACTATCTATTATTAAATTTAGAATAAGTAATTAGTCACAATTTGGGTTTAAAATTTAACTCGCAAAGTGCATGCAGTTTTGTGGCATCTGTTTGAATATATAACTGTGGTTTTCGTATTATAACCGACTTGTATTAGGAACTCGAAATTTGTTTAATATAAATTTGTATAAATTAATTTAGATCATCTATTATAGAACAATACGTGAGATCTAACACTAAATTGTAGTGCAATAATGCTGAACTACTAAATTGTAAACTGCTTCTAAATTAATCAAATATCACAGTCGCTCCCTGAGTATTGTTGTGGGAAATGACTTTTACTTCATTAGTTTATTCCCACGCTTTAATTATTAATAACATCTAGTTATAAAAATATTAAGGCCAATTTCAAGGTAATATTTTAAAATTTTACTCTAAAATTTGAATTTAATGTGTAATTTAGTAAACTTTTATGTCACGAACTACTGAGAACTAAACATAAAGTGGTTCTACTCGTAACTTAATTTACTTTTAACTAGTCCACAGTGTATGAAGATAGGTAGCTATAGGATCAAATTAAAAATGTAAGTTGTAATGAATAGAAACAGAGACTTTAGAATCGTCTACATTATTATCTTAAAGATCCTCTTGTGAGTAGGAATTAAAAAAATACTAAAGAGTTAATTTTTTTTATCATACAGTAAGTGCCAGTTAATTATAACTATTTATTAGCATAAGCAATTTATTTCGGACATACACAGATATAGAGTCTTATCTGTAGAATCATAGTATAGAATATCATAATAATAGTATCTTTGTTACAGACTATAAAATCTGTTATGAGAAAGCAGGCAGTAAAAATATCCCCACAATCCAGACTCGAGCCAATTAAAAACATTTTGTTTCTCTTAAATTGGCCCGACTGGGAATCGAACCCGGGACCTCATTTACGCCAAGCAACATGCTTACTACTACGCCACAGAGGTATATAATAGAAAAAGTGGAAATACTTTTATATCCACGAGACGAATATGTAAGTGGTAACTAAAAATTTCAGGATTAAATTGATTTTTTTTTGCGTCATAGATTGTTTTTAATTTTGTTATTTTATAACTAATAATAAATATTTATGCAAATGATCGATTTATATTTATAAAATAAAAAGTAATATGGTGTTGACAGTGTAATTTATGCTGTGGCATATTAATGTATATATAAGTATAATTAATGTTTCGAAGTTGCCTGAAAATTTCATCGTCGTACATTTTCACGTGCTGAACTTGTGGTCAAAAGTTATCGATAAAATCATCGAACACTCACCGCTCAGTGTGTCCCGTCACGTAGAAAGTGAAAACATGCGATGGCGCATACTCCGCCTTACTTTCCACACTCTCACTTGTCGACCGGCTCTCGCACTAAACACACAGGGGTACAACACTAGAATTCGCAATTTCAAATTTGGATAATTCGAATGCGATTCTCGATTCACTTTATCGATTGTCCACTGACTCGATTGTTGGTTGTCGGCAACACGCGCTGGAGTGTCAGGTGCGACTGTTACGCTGGAGAGAGCGACGCGCGCACAGGTTGCTGGTTGTGTAAGCAAGCATTCGTTCGAAAGGAAGATGATGGGTGAAGGGGAGGGGGTTTGGAAAATGCGTCTTATACGCTGATCGTTAGGGTTTCATCTTGTCGGTTGTGTATGAAGGGCGTATAGCTACAGGCGATTAGCTAACACGTCTCCTTTGTAAAGGTACTGTATCAAAGGCTTAGTTGTTACTCATTTCATAAGGTTTCGTAATACATTTTCCCCATGGATTAGTGCACTAGTAGATACTTTTTGAACTGCTACAAGAAAGTAGCTTATTCTTTTTTATTTCTTTATCTCTCATATTTTATCTACATAGCATTTTTTATGACGAAGCTGTGAGTGTAGTTTATCATCATCTTTGATCACAACTTTATTGGTATTACAGTATATTATCATGTCTATATATTTATGTATCTTTTGTGATATATATTTCTATATGAAATAAATATTTGTATAATGTATTCATGTAAGTATTTATAAGATCATAATGTGTAGTAGTTCTTCATGATTCTTATCATTTGTGAGTCAAATACTAATACTGTAACTGTTTATCCTTAACAATTTGCAATATTTTTTTGCATCGCATAATTACATTTCTGTTTTTCCAAAGAATGACTGTGAGAGACAATACAATATAGCATGAAGTTTGTCTTTTGTAAGAAAAATTTTTAGTAATGTGGTCAATAAAGAATAAATAAATAGCAGTTTGGTATATATCAGTCGTATTCGTAACTTGAGCATCCTTAATATTATCAGTTCAATCAATATCTAATAACTTACCTGCAACGTAATTTTAATTTGTACAAAAGTCAATTGCCTCTGTCCTATTTGTGTTTCAACCGTAAAGCAGTTGTGTTTGCATGGCTGTCTTTCGGTTTGAAGGGTAGGATATAGCGTGAATTTACAGAAATAGATCACACTTTTGGATATTCTTTTGCTCCCGAAGAAAGAGTTTTATGTGATATCATAAAAAATCTTTGAAACATTACACAATGATTAGTTTTTGGTACACTTATTTCGTACCACAAAAAGAAATTAAACTTATTATAAAATATGTCTTTATTTGTTACATTTTTTGGTTTTATATTTGTTAAATTATAGGATCTCATTATCAAAAAGACCAATAATGTAAATGAAAAGAGAAAAGTATTCATGATAAGAACAAATATTTGGATCAGGAAATCCTTGTACGACCAATGTTGTGTAATGACTCTCTCAAAGATACGAAAGTAAAAAAAAAAGATAATAATCATGGCCTTAATATGAAAGTACCTGCCTGACTATAATGACAATTCAAATATTGTAATGGATGGGTACCTTGATTATCTCGTAATGGATAGTGTATTTATATTCGTGACATAGTCAAGTAACATGAAACAAGTCATGCTTACTATAATGTTCAGACTCGCGGCGGCGTGGTCATTAGCTCCCTAAAATATGGTTGGACACATTGATGGCTGGTTCATCCATCATACTCGCAGACAGGTACTACTTGTAGAAACTGATCTACATGTTTACAATTATTAACAACTGTAACTAGTCAGTCACAGTTTATAAAATATTTTTTTGTATTCATTTAGAGTATTTATATGCAACATATGTTATAGAAATATAAAAAACAGCAATAAAAACCCCTTGAAATTTATTCTTTATTAACTAAATGCAATTTCTCTCATATTTGGTATATAGTATTATTTCATAATTTTTATATTTTATCTTTTTTTAAAATATATTTATTTATATGATTTTGTACATTCATTTTTAATATAGATATCAGTTTATAACGGAAATATACACAGGCGGGCATATCGCTTGAAGGGATTTCTATAGGGTTTATTTATTTAGCGTATATGAAATGTATAATGTAGAAATATAAATAATTTAAGATTGCGTTCCATAAATAAAAACTGAATTCGATTTGCGGCAGAACTAATTATTATGATTAAAAAACTAAACTACTACACCGATTTTGATAAAATTTTTAACTGTAAGTATATTCTTTCAGAATTAACGGAGCTATGAGGTAAAAAATATAAAAAAAAAAACTAAATTGCGAACCTCCATCATTTTGAAGTCGGTTGAAAAGGATCAGCTTCGGCTTTGGGTTTATCTATTTGTGGGCGACAAAGGAAATCAGGAGTGGAAATTGGAAATATATGTATAATATATAAATAATATATGTGGCCTGTACTCTACACTATTAGTCCATTACTGTCCAAGCACAATTTCTCACATATTTGGTAAATCGTAAAGCAGTTTCAATTTACAATTTTTTTTTACATTTTATCACAATTTTTATTATAAATAAAATTATAATACACATTATAGTGCAGAATAGGCAACGTAGTTATGTAACGTAGCCATAAAAATATAGATAGAACGTCTTTTTTTGGAAGTCGCTTATAATATCATTCGTGCAGGCAGGTGCTAAACTGTGTCAATGCGTTATGTAACCGGTGTCATCACATTCCATCATCGCCGTGTGACCAGGATACTACGTACGACAAAACTTTCACTTAGATTGCGATTTGCGATTGTGTTGTTTAGTGTTATTTTTTTTTTATTTAATCATTTACTATATTTAAACGACCTTGGTGGTGAACGGTTTAACATATTAGTAAATAATATGAAGTTTAACTTTTTACGGCTGTACTATTAGACATGGGTAATATAATGTATATTACCCATACAGATAACGATTCCTTATGTATATATTGTTTTTTTGGATATTGGTAACAATACACCCTATCAGGTCGACCTCCACGCGGTTCCCTTTGGAAACCGTCGTGATTGATTCTAGTGGAATTCGTCACGATGGGCTAACTGACTTGACTTTTCATCCTCACCTGTCATCCCTTACTGGTGCCCCGCCAGCGTATCCAAATAGCGCAGACGAGGTTACCATTCTATTATCAACCATTAAAAAAACATATTCGTTATTGAACCGATATATAGATATTGTAATTAAAATATATAGATATTGCTATATATTACCTACTCCTACTGTAAATCATTGTGATAGGTTATGTTTTATAAATGTTTTTCTATTCTAAGTTATATGAATGGGGGGAAGGGATTGTTAGTAAAGGAGAGGTTAGTCCCCATTATTATCAATATACCCCATCAGGTCGACCTCCACGCGGTTCCCCCTGGAAACCATCGTGACTAATTTATGGTTGAATTCGTCACGATGGGCTAACTGGCCTGCCTTTTCATTCTCACCGATTACCCCTCACTGGTGCCACGCTAGTGTATACCGATAGCGCAGGCGGGGTTACCATTTCATTATCATCCATTAAAAAAAAAAGTTATATGAATGAGTATATCTGGTTGTTTGGTTTGAGTGGTTTTTGGAAGTTACCGTTTTTATAAAACACATACGAGTACGATACGATGTAAACCTACAATCATAATACTCGTTTGGAGTAGCAATTATGCAATTTTCTGAGACATTAATTTTGTGTTACGCAAAAGTTTTATAGGTAGACGATAGACATTATGTTAATCAAGTAGTAGCAAATAACTGGCAGTAGTTGTGTTTGTAAAAGATTTGTTTTCTTTTTTATTATTATTATTTCAGCCGTTAACTGCCCACTGCTGGACATAAGTCTTCCCCATAAGGGGAGTTTTGCCAGTAGTTGTTACGCTTGGCAGGCAGGTTGGTAACCGTAGTTAGGTTTTTACAAATGTTTTAAGAGGGACGCTGCTGCCCATCCCTCCACCATAAGCTCTCTTATAGTTTTATTTATATATATGTATATATAGATAAAACTAGCAACATTCGCTTATTGATATGAACATTCCACAATACGTCACCTAACTGTGAGAATTTAAAAAAATTGTGCTTAATGTATTTATTTTCTACATCCTTTAATAATAAGCAAGTTAATGTCTTAGCATGTGAGTCTCCGTTTAAAATTTACAATTTATTTTTTAACCGCTGTCTGGCATTCTATTTTGCTGGAATTTGGCATACTTATGTAAGTTCAGTAACAATGCAATATTATGGTACCGTCGAATTCATTGAAAGGTGGCTGTAGGCATTCGTAAACTACGCATTATATATCTGCCGTTTTTGGACTCGTTTGGATTTGTCTTGATAAAAAATGCACCCTGTGTAACCCTGAAGAGATGAGAGAAAGGGTTGTTAGTGTTGAGGTCTAGCTGAGCCATTGCTAGTAATACACCCTATTGGGTCGGCCTTCGCACGGTTCCTCATGGAAACTATTATGTCGAATTGTCATTCGCCACCAGAGGGAGACTTTGTACAAATTCGATTGCTTGGGTACCTCTGTCCCATTCGTATTTCAACCGTGAAGCAGTTGTGTTTGAATGGCTGTGTTTCGGTTTGAAGGGTGGGATATGGCGTGAATTTACAGGGTACAGAGGAATAACATCTGAGTCCTCAGGAATGGCAACGCATGGGGGGTATCATGGGCGAAACAGTAAACTCTGTTATGTCCATGGTACTGCTCATGTCTATAGGCGACGGTTACCACTTTCCATCAGGTGGGCCGTCAGCTTGTTTGCTATTCTAAGTTGTATAAAAAAATTTCTTGTCAAATTCATCATGGTAGGCCAACTGACCTGCATTCATTCTCGTCTATCATCTTCCACTGGTCTCTCGTGGATGTGTACTGATAGCGTGGGCGAGGTTACCATTCCATTTTAACCCATTAAAAAATGCTGCAGATTCTGATGATAAAGCCTAAAGGCTAAAATGAGGTTGTTTTATTTTTAAACATACTTGTTACACGATATCACAGCTTTTTCTTGTGATAAATGGGTCTGTCATTTTCACTATAATTACTTTGTTAGAATATTATGGTCTACAATTGCAAGAAAGCGTTAATGTATGGCACTGTATGCCAAGTGCAGTGAAACGTTTTCACTTGGTAATATAGACTGTGGTTTACCCTGTTAACATATCTCTTTCTAATTTATGTTATATAATTAAATATATAAATACCACTGAACATATTACAAAAAGAGCCATCTAGTGACAGACTATGCTTAGTTTGTATTATGAGTAGTAGGAGACTAATAGACATACTTAAATTCATTTTTTAAAATACCTGGAGAACATCCAGAACCATACAAATAGATAATTATAGTCATGAATACAAACGACTGTATTTTGCACGATTCGAACCTGCTATCATTGGAAGGTTAATTGGTATGTGAAGCAATAGATCACAAAAGTCATAAATTGTAAAATTTTCAAATATTCTTCTTTTGGATTTTTTTTTATCTTTTTTATTTAGAGGCTTTTATCCTATAAGGATATGTCAGACTCATCATACCTTAATTTTATAAAATACGTCACATACTTATAACATTGATATATAAATAGATAATACATAATATATTAGTAGTCTGTTTTCATAAAGGGAATTATTGATACAAAAATATAGTAATTAAAGATTTTGCCATTCCGGAATGTGATTCTGCGAGTATATTTGAAAATAAACCAATCTCCTGTCTATTGAGACTATATTGTGTTTTGTATTTCGTACATTCAGATATCATATGATGAACATCATCCAATGTGTTACAAACATCTTCTTTTGGATGAAAACATGGAAAACAACATTCAAAAAGATATTGATTTATATTTGTATTATGAAGGATTTTTAATATGTTCGTTAATTTAATAGCGATTAGTAGAAAATAAATGATTTTAGACTTATTCGCTATGTTATTATGTTATCAGTCATAATAAATATATAAGTAATCGTAATAACTAGTCTGTCTATCGATATAGCTATCGGAAAGTGGACATTATAATTTACCACCATCATACGACAATTTAACAATCAAACAATTGATAACAAAACGTCACGATAAAAATATACAATGATAATTAGAAAATTTAATTAAAATACAGTAAGATAATTGATTTACAGACAAAAAGGTATAAAAGGATTATTGTTAGGGCAGCCTCTTACAGATAACCATTGGTTAATGGAGAACAAAATGTATTGTGCCACGTGGTCCTGGCATAGAATGGGCTACCCCTTCCTTTTCCGTGGGTTTTGTAAGAGGTGACTAAGGGAACTTGATGGTCGAGGGATGGACAATAGCGTGCCTCTTAAAACGCTTCTGCGTTCCTCTTAACATATTATCAAAACAAGCAGGATCAGCAAGCTGAAGTGGCAATAGGTTGGTCATATAGCTCTAAGAACTGACAACCGATGGGGAATAAAGGTTCTTGATTAGCAATCCCGTACGAAATAAACACAGTGTAGGATGACCCCGCACCAGATATAGTGACGACCTCAAATACATTGCAGGGAATCAGTGGATGCAGGTGGCTCAGGACCATCTCAGTCTATGGGGAAGGCCTGTGATCAGCAGTGGAGAGATAATGGCTGAGATGATGATATGTAGAGTTGGAAGAAGTTCATTTCAATTTCTATTGTTTCTACTTACTCCAATCAGAGACAGGCGTGACGTATACGAGTATGTATATATGAGAAATCTTGCATTAAGTTAGTATTACAACACGAAGTGACAAACATACTTTCCAATTTTTTGTCGGTTACCACAAACCAACCCGGATATCCGAATTTTTACATGTAATAAATTATAACTACTCGAATTTAATTCTTATTTCAATGGAAAGAATGACTGAAAACAATATGTACTAGGCGTCTAACATATAAAATAAAATGTCGAGTTCTAGATTTTAGTTTTATGAAATGCTGTGCAATAATGTACTCTATGCTTTTGGCGTAGAGACGCGAAAGTTATTTTAATCTTTCATTACTCGATGACCAGTGAAAGCATGATATCGATTCTTTGTTTTTGAACAAGTAATGTTTAATTTAATATTATTCTATCTGTAGTGAATTTTTATGCAAGTTAGAATCACAAACAAGCTGCTGACGGAAAGTGGTAATCGTCGCATATATACATCGTCATAGATAACACAAAATACACTATATCGTAGCTCTTATATGGTGTAGCCCATGATATCCTTCATGCATCGCCATTCCTAAAGACTTTGGTGTTATACCTTCGAACCTTAATATGAATATTATTAACATAATTTCGTTATTTTCGGAGTAATAATAATAATCATTCATTTCAGGCACTGACTGAACCATATAAAATATATAAGTACATATATATATTTACATTATATAGATAGTGTCTCCATATAAATGCTACGAGAAAAGCGGGTCAACTAATTCCATATAATTTAGTGTGATAAATAGTGTTTTTACTATAACTTCTATATTTATTTTATTTTATAATTTTTTCACTGTATAATTAACTGTATTAATTAACTGTAAAATTATATTTTACTATTGGGCAGGCAAATTCCCGGATAGCTTTAATAATAGGATTGCTACTATTTGTAATTCTGTTACGAAAGCTTGCTATTTTCTTCTTAAAACAAAAAAGAAATCCGGTACCCTAGCATACGCGAATATGCTGAAAGCACTATAGAACCTTCACTGTTTCATCAGTATACGAAAATCATTATTATATTGAATTCATAAAGTACTATAGCATCTCCTATAAAAGTTAGTTCTTAGTTCGTCCATTATTTAAGCATAGTAATTTTTTACACGATTTGAAATTGCAAATTTATATGAATATGTTGATAGTCAACTTAATGAAAAGTCAAAAAAAAAAACAACGCAAATGGGCATAACAACGTGGACATTACAAAATACACTGTGACGCTAAAGTGTCACGCCTTCGTAGGATAATCAGATATTTACAGTTTATCACAGCCGTAAACGGAAGCACAGCCATTCCTTTGGTATTATATAATTATACCTGATTATATGAAAGCTATTATATATAATTACGAGTATACTTAAAGTGACTAAAGATTATGTATTAAATATATCAAAATATTATATATATTAATTATACATATCAGTCATTAATTGTACACTGTTAAACATAGGCCTCCCTATGTTGCCAGTATTTGCTACGCTTGGCAGGCGGACTGGCAACCGCAGTTAGGCTTTGAAGATGTTTTAAGAGGTGTGTTGCTGCCTATCCTTTATCCATTAAGTTCCCTTAGTCGCCTCTTATGACACCCACAGGAAGGGAATGGGTAGACTATATATGTTGGAACCACACGGCAATTATTAATTGATAATGTCGAATTATCTCGAATCGTCTTAAATACAGTTTCTTCTACACCATGCTAGACTGTATTTAATTACACAATAAAATATGATCTTCATCTTACTAAAATCACATAATATTATATATCATTATGTCATAAATGTGAAAATTTGTAAAAATCAATTTTATTTATTATAATATCTTTGTTATTTAATCATACTTAAAATAGTTGGACGTAGTGATTACTTGCTCTGTGGTTGAATGAATATGAATGACATATTAAATAATTGGACTCCTTTTGTCCTAATTATCGCGGTGAAACCTATGGGATATAGCTAATAATTTAACAATGTTTGACTGATCTTTTTTTATCTATTTTTGTATATTTTGATTTAGGAAATATATATAATATAATCTATTTTTTAATACAGGAAATTTGCCTATCTAATATAACTGATCTTACAGATTTAATTAATGTCTTATCTCTTGAGAAAGTCGAGGGATTATACTTGTAGATAAGCGCGGTGATCGATAAGGATTTATAGGAGGAAAAAGTCCTGTTTGATGACACAGTTATCAAACGGGAAATTAATTTTTGTTGTTATAACGATTGAGTTGTAATGAGCTGAATATATGTTGTCCTTATTAATTAAGGGATTTTTCAATTTCAATTTTAACGGTTAATTATTTTTGAATTCATCAGAATAGGTTAATCGACCTGCTTTTATCCTCACACATCATCTCTCACTGGTGCTCCTTCAGAGTACACCGATAGCGCAGGCCATATTGATCCATTAAAAAAAAAAACCCTTTCTCATGTTGAGATCGTTTTCTTAAGATTCAATTTTAGTTTAATTAAATATATTAATATAATAAACAATAAGAAAAAAAAATTTAATTGTTTCTCAGGGTACAGAGGCGTAACACATTAGTCCTCAGAAATGGCAACGCATAAAGCTTATCATTGGCGACGCACTATACTCCGTTATGTCCAAGGTATATGTATATATCGGTATTTGTAGGCGATGGTTACCATTTTCCATCAGATGGGTCGATAGCTTTAATGCCATTCTAAGTTGCATAAAAAACTTTATCATTTGAATGTTGCAAATATCGAATTAAAAAATAAATGTTTATATAAACTATCTTAGGTTTAATTTAGCTCTAAATAACAATTATTTTTAGTTAGAGAATTAGTGATTATTTTTTATCAGAGTCATTTATGTACAGATGGTTTTATCGTTGTAGTGGATATTACTATTATAAGTACTTATATTGTAATTAATTACATTATAAAATTACTATTATCGTAATAGGTATGTAATTAATACGTATAAGATTTATATGTGACATTCAATGAACTCTACGATATGATTTAGATATAGAATTCGTATGCTACTATGTCAGGTCGATTAAAAGAGATTCTTAGAAATACGTTCATAATTGCTTACATTGGAGTTCATTCGAAATTACCTATTTCTATTTTTACCTCTAAAATAAAAAAAAAAAAAACTTATATTGATAGAAAATTGAAATTGCGGGATAGAATCTGAAATAGGAATATTGACAGAAGAACTAAAGTGACCGACAGTTCAAATTTTCTTGGTCAGTTTTATTGATTAAATGAAACTAAGCTATTTTATATTGTAATTGGTTTTATGTAAACATTTTTGGCCTGTGATGTTCGTGTTTGGGACGGTCGTGGGTCAAAAGCCATTGCAGAATCTTCGACAGGGCTTCTTGGTCGCCACAATGCAGCTTGTAGCATTGTTTACTTTTATATGGAATATGAGATCTGTAAATTAAATAAAGATAATATGGCAAAGCATTTTTTCTGGAAAATTATATTCTGTTCTCAAGCAGTATTGTGATGTTTGCAATTCTAACAAGTATATTGATTAAGAGTACTATATTCAATTAATATTATGTATTAAAGTTGCTCTGCCACAAAAAAATCTACTGTATTTTGACTTTATTAAAATTAGTATGTAACCAACATATTTTATTAAGAAAATAATCATCTAAATTAGTCCAATATTGCCGAATATCGCGTAATATTCTCATTATCAAGTACAATCGAGTTAAAAACCTTATCTTTTTGTAGCTGATTAAACATGCTAAAACATAATTATTGTTTAAAATTTTACTACGCATACTCGTAGTTCTTCTCTGAGTGTAGTTCGCACAGAAGTCTTCGGCGGCAGGATTCACTGATGGGCGCTAGATCTCTTACTGTGTCAGATCGACGGTACATATGTGATGGAAAACTGAAATATAATTTATTTATTATTATATACTTTTATTCATTTAGGATGCGTTTTTATCTACCGTTTCGTCCGGAACAGGATCTGTTCATTGATCGAGATAAGAAGTAGCCTATAGTCTTCTTCGTCTCATATAGTACATATACCAAATTTCAAATTCATTCATTAAGCTGTTAACGTGCTAAGTGGTAACAAACAGACGAACTAACTTTAATATTTACAATATTAATAAAGATTGAAGTTTTTTGAGGGAATGCAACACTCGTGAGACGCCATAGATGTTGTAGATGTTCATAGATAATTGTAGGCGTTTACAATTATCTGTCCACTGCTGGACATAAGTCTTCCTATATTGGAAAGCTTTGTTCGTAGTTGCCAAGTTTGGCAAGTAGATTGGCAGCCGCTTTGGTGATATTTAAAGAGGGAGGCTGCTGTCCATCTCTCGGTCTTAAATTTCCCTCAGTTGCCTCTTACGACACCCACGGTCAAGGAAGTCCCATTCTATGGGACCGGGACCATACAATGAATTTATTAGACTATATATATATATACCACTTTTGGGGTGTAAAAAATATATATATATTAAAAATACATATAATAACTATGTATATTACAGAAACTGGATTTTCGTTTTCTGTTTCATTTCATTATAGTATTATATGACGTATATTACTTTCCATGCACCATCATAGTGCATTGGTGGCTGGTCACTGAATTTGTATGTTACCGGAAGAACGGCGCTTATGCAACTAAGAAAGTAGCATACCTACTGCACATGTCATACAAATCGCCATGTGCCACTGAAATATATTATAAATTATGTATAACATTCTATCACGATTTTTATATCATTATCATCATTACCAGAGGGAGACTTTGTACAAAAGTCGATTGCTTGGGTACCTCTGTCCCATTCGTGTTTCAACCGTGAAACACTTGTGTTTGCATGGCTGTGTTTCGGTTTGAAGGGTGGAATATGGCGTGAATTTACTGGGTACAGAGGAATAACACCTGAGTCCTCAGGAATGGCAACGCATGGGGGGTATCATGGGCGAAACAGTATACTCTGTTATGTCCATAGTACTGCTCATGTCTATAGGCGACGGTTACCACTTTCCATCAGGTGGCCCGTCAGCTTGTTTGCCATTCTAAGTTGTATAAAAAAAATATCAGATTTTAGCTGTCCACTGCTGAACATAGCCTTCCCCATAAGGGGGAATTTAGCCAATAGCTGCCACGCTTGGCAGACAGGGTTGATAACTGCTTTGGGTTTTGGTGATAAGAGTGACGCTGTTGCCTATCCTTCCACCATAAGCTTACTAAGTCGCCTCTTACGACACCCACGGACCTCTTACGGGACTTACACGGCTATTTTTATTGTTCTGTTGGAATAGTAAACGATTTTGTACCTACGATTATTTGTACTTTGTCATTTCAGTCTAAACATGTTTCTACGTGTTCTTGTTTTTCTGCTATAAACATTTAAGGCCTTTGCAGATTTCACCTTCAAGTTCGTTGTCTGCAATTTTATCTATTGCTTATCGGCACATTACATATTATCTTTGATATGGCCAGAAAGACTACAAATAGAGAGCATGGGGGGAGAGGATTGTCAGTAATGGGGAGAATAGTCATTGCTCTCAATATACTGTATCAGGTCGACCTTCACACGGTTCTCCCTAGAAACCATCGTACTAATTTATTGTTGAATTTGTTATGATGTGCTAACTGACTTGCCTTTTTATTCTCACCAATCATCCCTCACTGGTACCCCGTCAGTGTATACCGATAGCGCAGGCGGGATCACCATTCCATTATCATCCATTGAAAAAAAAACAGAGAGCATGAAGAAAAAAAAAAAGGTATCACGCCGACTATAAATGATATGAGATAAGGGTAAGAATATAATGATATAAAGTTATTTATTGCGCGCTAATCCGGAATAGGTAGGTTTAATCGTATTTTCCGAATTATGAATGTCGGAAATATTGATATGCTAATTTTATTTCAAATGAGCTTTATTTCCGATTTTACCTTTGTTATCGCGAGATCATAATTAAATGTATTGGCCAATTAATATCTAATCAGGGGGAACGGAAGTGAACTCGACAAAACAAATAATTGAGCAATTACTGCCATAAATTATTTTGTTCGATGGAAGTACATATTTTTAATGTTTTTGGCTTATATACAAAAATATTATAATATGTATTACGCTTATATTGTCCGATAATTTATTACACGAGTACCTGTTCGTGAGAAGTGTAAAATAAAGTTTAGTTTTGTTTTAATGATCGAAATGGCACATTATACTCTTGTACAATACACGGTATCTATTCATGTGTTGAAATATTAAATCATAATAATATTTCCGATAAATTATTGGGGCATAAACTAACCTGAGTAATCCAATTTATACATTTATATAATTATGGAAATTTATAAAATTTTTAAGGAAATTTTTAATATGCATAGATAAGTAAGCTTAATGATATAATATGTATAAATAAGTTTTACGATAATGTAACTCATTTTTAGGGTTTTGTATCTTAAAAGTAAGTGGTAACCGTCATGTAGTATACTAGCTATATCCCGCGGCTCCTCCCGCGTGGTTTACTATAAAAAGTATTCTATGTGCTAAGTTAGAGTATAGCCTATGATTATGCTAAATTGCATTCGAATCCATTAAGTAGTTTTTGCGTGAAAAATTATTATTAATTATTAGCGTTATTAGAAAAAGTAGTATAGTAAAAAGGATATTTTGTATTAATCTTGAATGTTGTCTATCCGTATTCTAAATTTCATTGAAATCCTTTCAGCCGTTTAAGCATAATTGTTTCATAATCGTCCAAACATCTTTATTAATTTTCACATTTATAATATTAGATAGTATATTATTTTCTTAGTAATCAAGCCGGATTTGGATATCGTATCTTTAGAATTATTTACGCTGAATTTTAAATAAATATGCTAATTTTATCTTAACACGCTGATTGCATAAAATTATAGATAAACATTAGGTGGAAAGTATAATAAGCGGTTGCCAACCAGTCTGCCAAGCATGGCAAGTACTGATAAAACCCTCCAGTGGCAAATACCATGGGAAGTGACCCCCAGGCTATAGATCGGGATTGTTCCTTATGATAGTTTTGGGGGAGACTTATGTTCAGCAGTGGATAGTTAAAGGCTGACATGATGATGATGTTGATGTAAGTATAAAACACACACACACAAAAGGTCGTGTGTGGATTTTTTTTAATGGGTGAAAATTAAATGGTAACTCCCATTGCCTGCGCTATCGGTATATATTGGCAGGGCACCAGTGATTGATTATAGATGCGAATGAAGGCAGGTCAGTTGGCCCATCGTGAAGTATTCGACAAGAATTAACCACGATGTTTTCTAAGCGTGTGGAAATCGACCTGATAGGGTATATTGCTAGCAATAGGGCTGTTAAACACTATTATTTGACAATCCCTTGCAAGATGCAAGAACTATTCTACACATGGGAGGGACCATGTGTAGAATAATTCTTGCATCTCTGAAATAGATCCGCTCCAATATTTTATTGTTGCGTCAAGCCTGATATCTACGCTGTTTGTTTAGAGAATAGCTTAGCAGTACCTCCTACACGCTCTCTATATTCTGCAGAGACGAGCTGTCTGTATTGTGGGAGACGCTGGGGTAAGTAAAACTCTAGAACCTCTATAATTACGTACAGAAGTTTCCCTCAGTGTCTTCCACCGCTTATTCCATGAGGAAGTGCTTAGAATAACTTCATTTCCTTACTCCACATTACTTTTTCCGATATTGTAACATGAAGAAAGGCTAGCGATTACATCCATATATTATAGCCCGCCCGCGATCGCGTACAAATAAATTTGGCAACTCTTACGTGAATTGTACCGTAACAATATGAAATGGTTTTTCCTTCATTCTATAATCTCGGAATTTCCAAATGTAGTGTAAGAAGCACTTGATAAGTCGGCATAGTGTGGTCAACTGTTGAGAGTACATCATTCTGGGGGGAAAAGGATTGTTAGTAATGGGGTCAAATAGCCCCATTACTAGCAATATATCCTGTCAGGCGACCTCCACGTGGTTCCCCCTGGAAACCATCGTGAACAATTCTTGTTGAATTCGTCACGATGGGCTAACTGGCCTGCTTCATCCTCACCTATCATCCTTCACTGGTGCCCCGCCGGTGTATACCGATAGCGCGGGTGGGATGGGATTACTATTCCATTATCACCCATTAAAAAAAAAAGTACATTATTTTCTTTTCGGTTGATCATATTTATGGATCATATTGTCTTTGTGTTCGTTTAATATGACGTGATCACATGTCATGCTATAATAAATAAAAAAAAAACACACACCCAAAATTAATATATATACATATGTTACACATATCTTTGGAATTAAAAAAATGGTTACAAATGTAATTTTTCTATATTAATATTATCAATATTGTGTATTTGTCGACGGCAGAGGCTCGCCGATCGGCATTACGTACATATGTCTGTTTATAAGTCATATCGACTGCCGAGCCTCTGATATTACACGCCTTAGCAACAGTATGCAAATGGAGGGCATCGATCATACATATTTGGAATATAACAATAATATGCAGGTAGCTAGTCTTTATTATTGCCTCTTTTTGTTTTGTACTTTCTAATTATTTTTGGTTTTATTATATTCACTCATCTCGAACTGTGTAGTGTCGTTGGTACAGGTACAGGTTGTTCTTTTTTTTCGAGATTTTTTTGTCTTTGGTAATATCAAGATCATTATAAATGTTTTTTATGAGATTCGGTCTCTATTATTATTATAATAGAGACTCTATCTATTATAATTATAATAGAGGAATATATATTATATTATTAATAATTATTTGATTATTACATTTTTTCAAATATAAAACAACATATAAAACATAAAATGAATTAAATGTTTTCAGTGTGTCAGTCGGCTACACCAGGCGACTAATCCAAATTTTTGCTTAATATTTACACTAGTTAATTGATATTTTAATTAACATACTGTATTTTATTATATAATGCCTATATTCAGCGGCGAGCAAATAATGGCTGTGATGATGATAAAGTATAAAGTAGATTAATTAACTACATTATATATAAGCGACGGTTATTATTATTACTTTCCATTATCTGGCAGTGAATTTACAGGGTACAGAGGAATAACACCTGAGTCCTCAGGAATGCCAACGCATGGAGGGGGGGGGGGAAGTATTATGGGAGAAACAGTATATTCTATTATGTCCATGGTACTGCTCATGTTTATAGGCAACGGTTACCACTTTCAATTAGGTGGGCCGTCAGCTTGTTTGCCATTCTAAGTTGCTAATAGGTCTCAGATCTAAATTCCTTTTGGATGGTCAACTTTAAGAAGAGGAGGATTAATGTTTTTCCATAAACATCATTTGAACTGATAGGTTCCAATCTAAAACTAGGCGTCGTTGTATTAAACCGATGAAATTCAAAATAGGTTAACTGTGAAATAGGGACTGTTTCAGGTCCAGGCACTCTTAGAAAATATTCATTAATACTATTAGGGTCGTTATAATCACTTTTACAAGGATCTATTAATATTCAAATCTATGTATTAAGCTATCATTTTGTTTATCGGTGTAATTCTCATATAGATAGGAAAAGCTGAAAAAAGTTTTATTGTCTTTTTCAAAGAATCTATCTCAGTCATTCTTTCTCAAAGGTTTATCAAATTTTAAAAGCCGGTATTAAATTGATAATAATGGCAATTTTTCTAATATTTAAAATAGGCAGTGAACGTATTAATCTTTAAATAGTGTAAAACGAAAACGCAATCTGTGTCTGTTTACTTTTCCGCTTATTTATTTTAAATCATTTATTCGATTTTGATAAGGGTTTCCCTATCATTTAGATATTATTTTATGAAAGGTTCGTCGCCGATAGTATTATAGGCGAAGTAATTAACTGATCCTATAGCTGCCATGCTCAAGTTGAAATTCCTGAGGATTATAATATTATATTATGCCTGCCCTATAATTTTACTACCATATGATAGTACCATGAGTGCCACTGCTCAAATTGAAGTACAGCTATGCAAGCACGATTGCTTTGGTGCATAAACATGGGTGGTAGCGGTGCGCGAACCCAGAAGATTTTGTTATTCGATTAATTAGTAATTCTATAATTCGATTATTAAATTAGTAATTTACTAGTTTCCGTATTCAAATGATTTTACTAATTAGTAATTCGATCTAAACAACTAACACTGAAGACAAAGCCCTTTCCCTAACATTCTCTCCACTCATGACCAAAAAAACATCGGCCTATTTTTTCATTTATATTCCTATAAATTTACCTTGATAAATATCAAAAGTTGCTATTATTATATATATTATACTAGTGTTTAGTAATCGGATGAAATTAATAGTTGTATGAATAAAATTAGTAGTTGAATAATTTGAGAATCATTCGAATAAACCGAATGAATTGCTCAGTCGAATAATTAGTAGTTTGATTAGTAAAGTCGCACATCGCTAATGGGATAGGAGGTACTAATGCAGACGACTTTTATAAAGTCTCCGGTAAACAAATTAATAAACTTCTAAATTATATGATACTTGAGAATTATGCAGTAGGAAAAGTTAAAAGAAATATAGTTTATGTACTACAAATACTCACTGATTTCCAGGGCCGGTATTTTCAATGGTGATTACGTTGGGGGTGAGCGCTGAGATTATGAGTCCTACGGGAATGAATGCGGTCACTAAACGAAGTAGATTCCTCCATGGGTTTACTCTGGAAATGAGTGGGTTACATTTTAAGACTGTGTTGTACAGGTGAATATTATATATAATAATATTTTTGAAGCTAAGATATGTATTTAACGTAGTGATACGAGTGCAAATTGTAGTTTGGTCTTGTAAAATTGGACGTAGTATCGACTATAGATTGAAATGTACACACGTAATATCTCTATAGAGAGCAGCTAGCAATAATTATACCTCAGTAAATTTTATACATTAAAATGATTAATACTTCTTTCGATAGCTGGTGAAAGGATTTCCGAAGGAGGACAGCAATTACTGTAGACATTTTTACTGAGCCTTTTTGTTTGGTTTAAAATTTTAATATTTTCTTGTTTTGGCTTGGCATACCAAACAGGTTCCATAATAAACAACCAGGTTCCATAACTGTTGGAAAGGAATTCCTTCTGGTGGCATGTTAGTGATATTTATTTCAAGACGACGCGCCCAGATATTTTCATTCATTATATTATTCGCTTGTAGCTTTACACGATTCTCTTACCTAATTTAGCTGATTTTTTTGTGGAACTATTTTGAATTACCTATAATTTATTGGAAGGACATAAATAGTATACAAAAATACTTTCCTCGTGATTACCTGATATCAATAGTTAATCTATCCCATTTTAAGTGGCAATACATATTATATAAGTAATACATATTAGTAAAAGGCGGGCGATGTTTTTAGTTTTCACATGAATTATGTACGTAATAATCTATCTAACAATATAAAACATTATGTCTATGTTAAATAATACATATATTGAAAATACTATTTAATCTTGAAAACCTAATAAAATATTTGGTGATGTTACAAGCAACCATAAAGAGATAGATAAAATATATTGATTAATTACATTCCATAGTCACTATGTTAAGTTGCGAATAAATTAATGTTTTTATACTTGTATTGTTTATATATTGTAAGTGTACTGGTAATTTTAGATATTAAAGAAACAAATATGTGTACAGTAGATATCCATAATATTTACACAACTTTCACTAAAGTCTTCAAAGGTCATACTATGAAATGGCCTGTGCCTGAGCCTGGCCTCCTGTTCAATGGTAAATCATGGCACAAATATAAATCTTTTAGATTTATATTATTATCAGATATAAGATTATTAATAACGTCTTAATAACTATAAACTATTACAAGTTGAAATTCTTTGTCTCTTATAGTATTTAGATAAAATTTATGAAAGGATTTGAAATTTTCATGGGAAATGTAAGTAATGAGCTACTTAGCAGTGGAGGCCATGACTTTCCTAATAAACACTTATCTATTATCTAAAAGAGAAATTTTTAATCACTAATTCTATAGTCAATCAAGTCAATAATTTATTTGCATAAACATAGGTATTCAGTTACATGATATTAAACATAAAAAAATAGTTTATGTAATAGATCGCTATGTTCCGCCGTTATTGGGCATATAAATATGAGGTGCTAATTGAAAATCAGCGTTTCTGCTTTTGCAGAAACCTTAAGCTGAATTAGCATCCTTTTTCTTTACCATAACACTGACTGATTTCTACTACTCTTTATATATAAATGTAAACTTTTTTTCTATATTTTATTTATTTATTTTTATGTTGTTATTACTTATAATCTAAGTATATGTAAGTGTTATGGTTTATTGAAATAAATTTTCATTCATTCATCCATTCATTCATAAATATTACAAAACTTTTCACCAAAATTATTAAACACAATAATAATAATCATCAATTTAAGAAACTTAAATCTAATTGATATTTATTTATTAAATTAGACATATATTCAAATATTATATATGTCAAATTACAAGTTCCTCGTTGTTTTTATTCCATGTTCTTTTTCGTACCTACGAGTATATCCTAAACTTATAACCATTTGCATATGGATCTTTTTATATGTGATATAGGAAAATATACTTTGAATTGATAATTTATTTTATCTCTTCGTTTTAGTTTCTATAAAAAAATTTACAAATGAGTATCTTAATTTTTGTGCTATATAGGTTTGTGTATTTTATTCACGTAAAAAATATTTATTCACTGTTACGCCACCAACCCACTTCTCTTTGTTCTCTTTAACCAAAGGTTGTCTGTAAGACTGTTGATAAGACTGCCTTTTGTACCTTTATGTATATATTTTAAGCTGTACTTTTCGTTACTGTATTGCACTTAAATTATTTAATTATTATATATTTTTATGTTTTTAGTGCAATATAGAGTTAAATAAATAAATAAAATTAAAGCGTGCCATCTTTTTCTAACACGTAAGAATACTACTCACCTCTTTTTTATGTCTACTGGGTTCTCTTTCACGTCTCCCGTGGCATTGAAATCTAATCCGAAATCTTCGTTGTCTCCATCTTCATTAGGTTTATTTTTAAATGCATCTGGCGACTTGTAAAGACCTCCAGCTGGGACCCTCATAGGCACTTCTACAGTTGGCTTTGACTCCAGGTTTCCAGATTCAAAACTAGATTCGTATCTACTTGGTTGCCAATTATTTTTAGTTTTAGTAAGAATACTGTTCTCAATTTTGTATGGGAAATCGTTCTGCCTGAATATGTCTCTCGGTATATTATAAAGATTAGATTTAAAAGGATCTCGGTGTGAACTGAAATGAAGAAACATCGTATAGTGTCGATTATAATATTTTCACCATTTATTTGGATAAAAGTATTTTATGAGAAAGTAAGTTGTACATTAATAATAAAAAATATGCTTTAGAACAACATTCATTATCATCATTATTATATCAACCATTAGTTGACCACAATAGAATCTAGGCCTCTACTATAAATAATGATTTTGCCGAAAGTTGCTATACTCGGTAGGTGAAATGGTAATTGCAGTTAGGATTTTAGTGACGTTTTAAGAGAGACGTTGCTGAGTATCCCTTGACCATTAAGTTCGAATAATATTAAATTACAACAATATTATTAAATATTAAACAATAATACTGCTGAAACATGATGATTACTTTTACACTTTTATCCATTACTGTTTGCAAAACACTATCTTAAAGTCTTGCTATAATACATACACGATATAATGTTTTTATTGTACATTTATGTTTTTTTGTTTGTACTTATTTCTTTTTATTGTTATGTATGTGCTAGAGGCATAAGATAATTAACTATTTATCTAACGTTAGGAAGCCGATATAGACTATATTGTTAGATTTCCTGTTTTTACCGAGTTATACTTCCGTTATACAAAAAAAAAAAAAAAGATATAATAAAACGAGAAAATTAATGTAATAATTATATTATCTACAATACCTAGTACCTAGATTACAATAGCTGTAAACGTGCTTTCCCAATACTGAATCACAATGAATTAAAAATATTTATAATTATAAATATTTTTAATTATAAATACAAACCTTAAAAAAGCAGAAGCTGGTTTTCTCATAGGAACAAAGGATTCTAATACTTTTCGAGGTGGAAATATCTCATGACTTTCATCAAAGTATGTTTCCAGTTGTGGACTTGGTTTAAATTCTTTGCTGCTATTGACCATCTTGATATCGTTTTGAGTTAGATTTTCTTTAGATTCTACAGGATTCGTAACATTTTCTTTTTCCGTTTTTGGTAATTTTGATTCAGCAAAAGCAGTTTCTATTTTCCAAACTGTAGCTGCAGTATTAATTGTTTTGTTGTTTGAATTTAGTTCATTCTTAGTTACGTTTGTAGTATTACTAATAGGGTATAGTGTTGTAGTATTATAAAATGTTTCAAGTTCAGTCGGAGTATCTTCTGTACTTTCTATTACTCTGTGACAAATGTGTACATTGATAATGAGCGACCAAGCTAATAAAGAACGCCATCTTATCTGCAAACAATTTTTTTTACGTATACTTAACAGATTATAAATTAAAGTCGTCAGCTTTACTTTGCGTTAAAGGTATAATATATTATACGTGAATTAGTTTGTTAATTAGACTCCTTTTTTTTAGGTTTCTGCACCTCAAAACGAAAAAAAAAAAACAATTTAATACACATATGTAAGTCGGAGACCCAAAAGCGGACTTGTAACATAAATAAATGAATTTTAAACATGGGCGTCTCTTTTGGCGGGGAAATTACAAATAAAAAAATGCAAAGTATATTGTATAACATATTAAATGAAATGTCTTGTTGTATGCGTAAAATTTTGAAAAAAATACGGAAAATAGTTCTTTATATATAGATTACAGAAAAAACTATAAGAAGTGTATGGCATTGAAAGTAACATATAAAATTTTCCAATATTTGTGAGTATAAAAAATTTCATTGGTAGTTGTAATGATACGAACAATTTTCCTCAAATACTCTAGATAATCATCAGAATGTACAACCCTCTTTATGTCAGTAACTCGTACTTGTTAGATTTTTATTTCAATTTATATTTCTGCTGAGTATTTTTAATTAAAAGTATATGGCTTTCACATGATTACAATATATGATAAATATGACGATAATAATATTGTTACAAATTAATGTGATGTGGGTGATATACTGTTAAGGTTTGCGAATAAGAAGGTGACGATGCCACAGGCTCGTCGGCCGGCATGACGTATGAGCAGTCAGTGACTTCAGAGAAAGTGAATGTCGACAGATTGCGTAATACGCGTCAGAGCCTCAATGGGCTCGTGGCTACAAGGCTAATTACAGTGGCTAACTTGTGTAGCGTAGGGGGGAAGGGATTGTTAATAATGCGAACTACCAGTCCCATTGCTAGCAATTTACCCTGTTAGGTCGACCTCCACGTGGTCCTCTTTGGAAACCATCGTGCTGAATTTCTGGTGTATTTTTTGCGATGGGCTAACTTATCTGCCTTTTCATTCTCACCTATCATCCCTCACTGGTGGTCTGCCAGTGTATACCATTAGCGCAGGTGGGAGTTACCATTCCATTATCATCCATAAAAAAACAAAACTTGCTTAGTGTTGCCATATTCGGTATTTTATTTAGAATATTGGGTAAAAATTTGAAATTTTTTAACAAAAATGAAATTTAGATAATTTATTGGAGAGTTTCGCATTGGAAGCAGTAAGATGACAATAACTGCTGTACAGAGAGGAGCGTGAATTTTCTCCGTCGCACTCGTAGTGGTTTTAACTAAGTAACTAGCAGTGAAAACAGATAACTGTCAGAGATTGAGTAAAAAGGAGAAAATACTATAAAGCTATTTAGGAAGAAATAAAAAATCGTGTCACCTTTGAATTTATTTTTAGAGAGTCGGAATATTTGCTTTTTTATTTTACTTTTTTAAATTATCTATCAGAGATTTAGGTTTGGATTCGATTTTCGGATCCTTGAACCGCAGTCAGATATTGTCTGACTGTGATTTATACCGATATTGTACTTTAGTGTGTCTTCAGAATTAAAAATATTATACCTGAAACGATCGGCTGGGAATCCTATTAATATTATAAATGTGTAAGTTCGTAAAGGTGTGTGGATTTTTAGATGTTTGTTGTTTGTTGTATTGAAGACGCTTAAACGGAACGACGGATATGCATGTGATTTGGTACACGGGTAGGTTGTGTCCTAACTTATTACATGGGATACTTTATACATAGATTTACACGGACAAAGTTGTAGAAAATCGCTAGTACGTCAGATTTTCTTTTTACACTGACAGCGACCTATGTTCCGTTTCTTAGCCCTCACGTCTGACCTGAAATCACAATTCAAGAATTTTTTCTGATCAATACTTAAGTGGAATCGTAATTTTGATTCTATTTATATAATTTAATAAACATGGCAATATAGAGGAAACAAATGTCAATTATATTTCCATACATTACTATACTTTTTACTTACGTATTTGTTATTTTGTTGTAAAATGAGTGATTAACAGAGTATTTTAGATATTTTATTATAAATAATATAATTAGAAATAATTAATATAACTCTCTACTGTACGATTGATTACGAGAAATGAGAATATTCTATAAATATTTTAGTTTATTTGATTATGTATATTAGTAATTTATTAATCTATATTTATTGATATGACAGCCTCTCAATACAATATGATTTATACTGTATTTTTCTAATTTTCTATGTTGAAAGTTACCTTTGTATCAAAAACATTTAGTACAATCACTTAATACAATGGTACATAGTCCACAGAAAAGAGTATTAAATTGACATTGAAGAATATCGTAAAAAATAATTATAGAATTTATCACACACAGTCTACCGATTTCACTTTGAAGAAATTTATAAAACCGTAATAATACAATCGTAATAAATGTAATAACACAGTCTGAAATGTAATAAATTGTCGTTGAAGAGCTTCGTAAAACACTAATAATACAATGAAATAAAAAAGAATATGAAATAGAAATTTGTTAATATCTAATAATATAATCGATGATTATATAGTCTACAGTAGAGCGAATTAGTTCGACCTTGAAGGACTTCGTGATCGTAATCAGGTGGTCTACCATGAAACGAAAATCCGAATTTTCGGGCTCAATTTCGTGTTATTGTTTGTACCAAAATCGACCCAGTAAATGGAGCTTAACATTTCATTTGTCATAAATCCTATCCTAATAGTCGAGAGGAATAATATTTTAACATTTTTAATAATTTTAAACGGCATGTATTATGTAATTTTAACATCAAATTTCTGTTTCGTTCGTGCCCGAAATTTCGGAAAATATTTCATGGTAGGCCCTCTGGTTACTGCGTCACTCTTTCGGCATCGGACTATTAGGTGGGGATTGTGTCCACTCATGTCGTTGGTATGAAAATTTTGAGCCTCCTATACAGATTTAATAGCTAGATGTACCCGCCGTTTTAATATCGTTTGTTGACAAACATGTTTTTTTGGCAAAAATGTCCAATTTTACTGCTAGAGCTCTGCACTAAAATACGAGTAGATGCTAGTGATTTCGATTTCATCCTTCACATATAAACTTTATTATGTCCTTTATTACAATTGAATATAAAGATATACAGAGATTAATAACTTGTTTGCAAGAGTGAGCTTATCTTTAAAAGAGATCTCTTCTAGTGAACCTAATGAAATGAGTTCAATCAAAACTTTAACATATTAGTTAAATTTGAAAATAACATACAACATCAGTACTGTACTATTAGTACTATTATATTAATGTATGTTATTATCAATCGACTTAAAAAAAGGAGATTCTAAATGCGGTTGTATTTTTTTTATGTTTACTACCTCATAACTTCATCACTTTTTTTTGAAAATTTCACTTTTATCTGGAAGGATATACTTACAGATTTGTCCCATAGAAATTTTATTAAAATCAATTCAGAGATCAGTAGTTTAGTTTTAAAATCAAAATACTAGTTTTGTTATAAATCAGTATTTGAATTTGTTTTTAATTTCATAAAGAGTATTATATCTTTTGCGCATCACTTGTTGGGAAATACTTTTTTTTTTTTTTTTTTTACAACACAGGGGGCAAACGAGCATGCGTCACCTGATGGTAAGTGACTACCGCCGCCCATGATCACCCACAACACCAGCGGCATTGCAGGTGTGCTGCCGGCCTTTTAAAAAGGAATATACTCTTTTCTTGAAATGTTGTCGTATCATTCAAAATACTGCTGCTGGAAGTTGATTCCAAAGAATGGTTGTGCGTGGAAGAAAGTTCATTGAAAATGCACGGTGGAAGACCGCCACTCGTCCAGATGATTGGGATGAAACTTTAGTTTGTGGCGGGTTGTACGGTGGTGAAAATCAGCAGCAGGTATCAATCCGAACAATTCCAGTACTGATTCGAATCTAAGACTCTAAACACATCATCAATATTTGCTATTCGTAATTCACAACACGACGGTAAGGTGTTATTTGCCCAGGCAAATCACAACTCCACCATCAGAAAAAGTATTAATACACACAATTTACGTGCATACTCGTACATTGTCTTGGGCAGCCTAATAAAGCGTATTTTATAAAGTACTTATTTATATTTACGAGTATTTTTTTAATATGGAACTTTCGAATTCCTTCCGAATACTTAGATAAGAATAGTAGGTATTTCGAATATGAAAGTAGAATACGGGCATGTCACAAAAAAATAATAAGAAATGTGACGATTAAAAAGTGCTTATGTATGCAATTTTAAATCATTATATCTTATTTTTGTTATTATTTTTTATTTATTTTTGTTTAATTATTTTGCAAACAAATCTATTTAAAAAGTTTATTTTATTTTACATCTTACACACATCTTATCTTCTCGTACTATCTATTCTATCTATCTATTCGTACATCTTATTAATATTGAATCAAATGACCTTGACATATTTGGACTCAGTTATTATCAATTTCGCAGACAATTATACAAAATAATGTAATATTTAGAAATCTCTTAAATAATTTTGTTTTGGTTTTTTATTTAACTTTTTTTATGTTTATGTTTATTTTTATGTTTAAATTTTTTACTAATAGTTGCAACCTAATAGCTTTGTTGCAGTCGCATTTATTATTAGCTACAGTATTTATCATGCTGTGTGCACATGTTGTGGCAAGTTTACCTGATACCCATTATGTACTTGCATATTATAATTAAAGTTTTTATTTGTAAACTTCTGTTATGTGCGCCTAATAAATAAAATAAAAATAAAATAAATAAAATTGAGTCATTTTAGCAAACTGCAATTACTTACATCTAGATAGATTTCACCTAAATTTTGTTTTCTTAAATTAACGTCTATAAGTAAGTGGTATATTGTTAGTATTAATATTTTTTATTGTTTTGTCAATTAAATTTAATAACTTACCATATTGTTCCGCTGATGACTATGTCCCACAAGACTATGCGCGGGCGCACATTTACCTAATATTTATAACATCTCTAAGTGTTGTCGTAGCCATCAGGACGTGTCACTATTGTTCTAGTGCAGTGAAAACTAGGGTTGTCGATTTAGAACAAATAATTACTACTTTTATTCAGTTAATAACAAACTTAGAGGCTATATTGATATTATATGAATGTTTACATAGTATAAACATATTTTTTTATGGTAGTCGTCGCTTATATATATAAATAGTTCCATGGATATCACAGAATCACTGGTAATAATGCTCACGGTAACTTTGCATAGTAGCTTATGTGTTGCTATTAATAAGAATTGTGGGTTTATGCTTCCGTACTCTGGTATTTCATATTTTACTATATTCTAACCTCCAAATTGAAATACAATCATACTGGCACATCTTCACGGTAGAAACAAGAGTGAGATGTAGGTATTTTAGTAAAAAACTTTTGTACAAGATTTTCCTCTAGTCTTTATAGAAAATTAAAAAAAAAACTGCCCTGTACAAACCGTCTATCGAAATCACCTATGTATGTAAAGAATTTGTATTAATCATGGCGAATGGCCTGACCTAACCTCATCCTCAACTGCCATTCTTCACTAATATCTACCCCGTCAGCATATGCTAATAGCACAGGCCTTAAACAAATGTTAATGAAATACTTTATGTATGTAATACTGTAGTATAAGTGTTATAGATTAAAAAATCTTGTTTCTGATATCTTTAATCACTGTTTAAATAATAAAGCAATACAAAATCGTGGGTAACAATGGCAATATTTTTTTCTACATTAGAATAAATTACTAAAACAAAAACTATAAATTAGTTCTCTGTGGATACCAGTTCAATGCTTTTTTATATATTTATTGGGAGTTTTTTTTGTCATAAAAATTAAGTACCTTAAATAATAAATGTGATTTTTAATTCCTAAGAAATACAGTTGTAAACCCTATACAAAACGTCCATTTTCCGCACGGTAATTTCGAGCGTGCGCTGTCCCGCCTTTATGTTACGCAGGTGTATCGCACTTGCTACGTAATCTTTATTATAAATAAAATAATTATTATCGGTGTATTGGTAGGTATCTAAATTTAATTTTAATGACTAATCTAAAGTCGTCAGCTTGGGCACCTCTGTCCTATTCAAGTTTCTACCGTGAAGCAGCTGTGATTCTATGGTTGTGATTCAGTTTTATGATATGCTTGTGAAATTACAGGGTAAGGAGGCGTAACACTGTACTCTCGAGGAATGGCGACGTAAGAAGGGTACTATGGATATCAAAGTATATTCTATGGATACCATGATACTGTTCATGTCTATAGGCGATGGTTATCACTTTCCATCTGAGGGGCTGTTAGCTTATTTGCTATTCTAACTATCATAAAAAATACATGCGAATGATTAACATTTATTTTTTTCTTTTGTTTCGAGAAAGATACCTATTTGCTCGAGAATGACAGAACGAATATAGTATTAAAAAAATTAAAATCCCTATTTTATGTGATGGTGAAAACTTTGTTCTGTTTTTGAAAAATTATTTGAATAATTCGCATTATTATTAACTTTCCCCTCTTACGTCGTCATTCCTTAAGACTACGGACTACTTACCCTGTAATTTCACAGGCATATCATAAAACTTAGACACATAAAATAGGTTTCTATGAATTTTGTTATTTTTGTTTTTTATGTGAAGACATTACATCGCCCTGAGAAGATATAAGTTCAATCATTATCATCAAATCAGCATTTAACTGTCCACTGCTAAACGTAAGCCTCCCTCTTGGCGGGTTTGGCCAGTAGTTGGCACACTTGGTAGGCGAATTGGTAACCGTAGTCAGGCTTTAGAAATGTCTTAAGAGGGACGGTTCTGCCCATCTCTCGCCCTCCCTTAGTCAACTTTTACGATACCCACGGAATAGGAAGAAATGGCTTATTCTATGGCAGGACCATACGGACAAGTACTATATGATCCATGAATGCGATCAAGCAAAAAGAGATAATGTAATTATTGATTCTCTTCTTTATATAGCTCAATATTTATTATTTGAATATCACATATTAGATTTAAAATTTGATGAAAAACTAATATAGTGATAAACTAAAAAGTTTAACGATACCCAATTCTTAAAAATACATATAGTTTTTTAGATTAAAAACAGTTTATTACAGACTTAAATACTTGCATATTATAATTATCAAAGATCTTTCATTACCTGAAGTCTCGAATATATATTACACGATGTTGGAATAAACAACTGAATATTTATAGTAACAATTTATTTGAAAAAATAACAACAAACACTTATTTAAATAATACAGAATTAAAATAGAGGTTATAATAACTAATTTTAGGTATTTTATGTATCAAATATCAATCAGGGATAACTTGGTAGCCTCCATTTTCATGTCATGCATACATATATTATGCATATAGCTGTAGCTAGCTTGGTAGTTGTATCCCGCAGCTTTTTCTAGTTGAATCAGAATATTAAATATCGTACGCGGTAAGTTACAATATAATCTACTTGTGTATGTAGCAAACATCATTTAAAATATTTAAGATTCATTGAGCAACAAACGTGAAAACAATGAAACATCTTTATAAAGTTTCACATTCATTTTCCGTGTATCCTACTAATATTAGTAGGATGCATGGGAAATGAATTTGTATTTTAATTTCGTATAATATTTTTTATTAAAAATGAATTATTATAAATCTAAATTATTATCATATATTATCATCTAAACTTTTTTAGAGTAAACCATGATTAGGTACTTGCAGTCTTATAAAACAGTCTTAGAACTCGAATAGGTAGATACAGTAAGGCTGGGCAAAATCAAAATTTAATTATATAGTGAAATTTTATCATAGTTGTTATGCAAATTGCTTTACTAATGTAAATTTTAGTACCTAATAGAAGAAAATTTTGTTAATTTACCTATTTCGACATGATATTAATTTTTAACATCTAGATTGGATGAACATAAAAAATATATTTAATTTATTTGAACTTAAGCTATTTTAAATTAAATTTATTCATTAATTGATTTTTTTTATTACAGATATACTTAAAGTTGAATTGATACAATACATAGTTACTATATATGATATGGGTTTTGCAGTTAGTAGCTGTTCTCTTGAACGATTGTTAGAATAAATAGTTAAACTGAATTTCATTTCATATATTTTAAGAATTATCTTCTTATGTTGCATGCATATCCATTTATTATGACAAAATGAATACTTTTAATTTTACATAAAATTTTTATACAATTTTTATTATCACAAATTGCGAGTACTTTTCATATTATTATTCGAATTATTGCATTCAACATATTGAAGTGTCATACGGTCGTTATATTTGCCAATTTTTAAAAACAATAAAATAACTTGCATAATTTCTAAATGATTATTTAAAAAATGTCTGATTAACTAATGGTATACTAGCAAGTTATCATTAACATGCAATGAGATTTTAATAACATATCATAAATAATTTACAATTTCATTACAAAAAGTATTTGAAACTTCTAAGGTAAAATACGAAGTAGGTGAAAAATTTTCAGTGGAAAATTTATTTTATAATTAATATATTAGTTCGTTATAAAAGTACTTTTTAAATAATAAATCAGAAATATTGAAATGTAAATGAATGCTTTAACTCCCGTCTCTTAAAATAAATTCATACTCATAAATTTTGCTACGCAAATATCTATCTGAAAATTCAAAGATAAATCTTACGCCGTTACACTTCAATAGAAGGCTCAAAACACGCAATATTGAGAGAGATTACCAATTTGTCAACATCCCACACATAAATTTCATTACATCTCGCAAGTGTATTTTACATATCAATTTATGCACTTAATGAGATTAAAAGAGTTTACATCAATTCCGATATATTTGGATTTTTAGTTTCTGTATGAAAAAACATCTGAAGAAATATGAGAAAAATAAGAATTGACAAAAACAGCACAGAATACAGAACTAAGAAGCGGAAAAAGAATTATTATCAATAAATAGCTTAATGACATCACAGATAATATAAGAGAAAAGAAATTGGCTAGTTTATTTTTGATATAGATTAAAGTATCATGTATTAAGAAACATGTAGTCAGTGCATTATAAATGATTATTCTTCTTTGATAACGAAATGAGACTTAACCCTTCTTTGCATGATTTTTTTATTGGTAAAAATAAATCAAGGTGATATAATTCATGTTAAAAATTAAAGGAAAAATGGTTAAAAAAATAAAGTTGACAGCTATGTTTTTTTCTGCAATGGACATTAAAAAGGTATCCAGACACGACGGTAGATTTGATATATCATAAAAGTCTGTAATAGACCTACATAAATAAAGATATTTTGAATTTGAATTTGATCAACTTGTTCAAGTGAATTTGTTCTTTTATATAATTTTTGGGCATTCAATGTTATGATGGAAATTTCCACCATTATGCAAAGAAGGGTTAATTACTCGGACATATATTTATTTTATTTATGTATAATACATTTTTTTCTCAATGTAGGGGAAAATATGTCAAAGAATATATATATATATATATATATATATATATATATATATATATATATATATATATATATATTCTATGACATATTTTCTTATGAATAAATAAAATATGCTATATTATAATTATCTATCTATTCTTACTTAAAAAAAAAACACATTGATTTATGCGCCCCTTGCTGGCTTACATTCCAATTCTCGGTCGGTGTTTAATGGTTGAATATTATCATCATCTTCCTTATCAGTTTCAATTAGTGTTTTTTCAATATCTCTAATGTTAACATCTTTCTTGTGCTCGTTTTCCAGCTGATGTTTGAACGCCGTCATCGCCTTCGTAATATAAATTAAAAGTACTGAAAACGATTGTAAAGTTAATAAACATTGGTCATAGGTGACTCTCAGCATCTCAGTCATTCATTTAAGAAATAGAGATCGAATGTACTTTATAGGCTTGATATTAATGAAGTATATTCTAATACTATTTACTATTGTTTTATTCACCAGCAGGTTTCTGTGTAGCTTCTGAGTGACCGCGTATCACGTTTACGGATTCACTAGCGCAGCGTGCGAGTATGTGTACGCGTATGTCCATACTCCGGACATATTCAAATATGTTAAGTATTTGATTTGTGTGTGGTGGAACCTCACTCAAGCTCGAGTCGAATTTAGTTCTAATACCATTATAATTATTATATTATTCGGAGTTCAATACAGGTTGTTATATTTGGTTTCAAAGTAAGGACCTCTATGGGTTCAAGGTAAATGAGAAATATTTACAATATTATGCATTGAATCGTATACAAAATATATTTTATATAATACATATGTACAGATTACTGTACTATGATCCATGGAACACTTGATGTGCAACTATGATTAGCGAGCATGCGCATGAGGCTACTGGGAACGGCTTATCCAAAACCAGGGGACTACAGATATCTTAAACCGCGGGATATCGTTAAGGTAACACAAAGGATCTATGAAATGATGGTATAAGGCAGGGGGAAGCACAAAAGATCCCGATGGGTCGACGTGCAACAGCCCAGCTGATCGCATATGTGAATATAAGATAAGATAAGATAAGGACCTCTATGGGTTCAAGGTAAATGAGAAATATTTACAATATTATGCATTGAATCGTATACAAAATATATTTCATATAATACAAATGTACAGATTACTGTAGATATTATATCTACTTACGTCCATAAATAACGAAAATGGCTGCGACGGTGCTTTGAAGCACAGGTTCTTCAGATACTGGGTCCAATGATAGAACACTGCTGATGGTACCCAAAAGACCAATGACTATAAAAAAAGTGCCGATGCACCAACTTACTAGTATCCAACAGATCATAAATTTTGGCATTTTCTGAAAAGAAGGAAATACCTATTAATGTCATTAAAAAACACTCGTACCTACTCCTTAAGAAACATTAAGTCCGTCTTATATACATACATGTACTAATGAATAAATAAAGAACGACTATTAAAATACTTATCATGTTGTTTTTGGAAAAATGATCTAGAAGTGCCATATGAGAATCGATTGGAAGAGAAAGTTGAATATTAAGTATAATTTTGTTTAAAATATAAAATAGCAAGCACAAATTAAATACTAAATATTGATATATCATTTAAGAAATAGAGTGCCAAAAGGAATCAGTGATAATTACAAGAACATTAGAGCAAATCAGTTTTTGCAATTAGCACTAATTATCTCTATATAATATCATATAGAGTTTTAGTAATTTGTAATGCGAGTAGATGCTATACGCGATTTAATTTATTAGATTTTTGAAACATATTATCTATCGAGATAAGAGGTACTTTTTATATGTTAATATATTGTTTATTATGTGTATTATCATCTATATTTATGTAATCCACTCGCTATCGGCAGGGAATTCGTTCTCATAGTCTAGAACTAAAACGGTAACGTATAGTGTGGTATCAGAAGAGCTTCCTCCAGTTGTGAAATTATTTTCTTGCTGAGTTTCTCCCTCAGACTAGAGTAGGGGTTCTTCAGTAAGGGAATAATAAGGTTTCTTAAAGGTCAGTTACGCACTCCTGACATCCTTGGTGCTATAGGCTATGGTACCCTGTTTACCATCAGACGGGTCGTACGTTGGTTTCCTGTCATAGTATTATAAAAAAGTTATAAAAGTTTTAAAATTTTTAGACCTATTTGTACATATTCTGGCAAAGTCTTCCTTACGGGGAAGGCCTAGTTCCAAAAGTCAACAGCTAATATCTCATATGATAATGATTTATTTAATATAAATAATGAGTAGACATACCTTAAAAATGCCGTATAGAAGAAAAAGACCGGAAAAGAAGTGGATGATAGATAGAAAACAGATCACGCGGTAGAATAACTGTACAAGAGGAGGCAAGGTCTTGTTACGCACAATAGGTACCAGGAGTATCATCGTCGCCACCAAGGAGATTAACTAAAGAAAAAAAGTTAAGTTTTATGAGTATATGTATGTTTATATTATATGTATGTTTATATACGATATAAACATAGATATACCTTAAGTATATCTATGTTTATATCGTTGTTGCTGTGTGGTCCCGGCATAGAATAGGCCACCCTTTCCCTTTCCGCGGGAATCGTATGAGGCAATGAAGGGAACTCAATCGTCGAGGGATGGGCATCAGCGTCCCTCTTAAAACATCTCAAAGGCCTGGCTGTGGTTGCCAACCCACCTGCCAAGCGTGGCTACTACTAATAAAACTCCCCTTATGTTTATCTATGTTTAAACGTGTAGTGCAGTAAGTAAGAAAATTGTTTGTTAAGAGGTTTAATAATTGTTAATTGTGCACTACACGTAGGCACACTAGGTAAATGCGTCACCCTACCATTTTATTTTAATTTTCTTTATTTGTATTTAATATATAAGATCATTTATATCTGTTAATGTTAACTCCATCTTCAATCCTTGTAGGATAGAAAAGTCAAAGTGACAGTAAACAGATCTACAACTAAAAGATAGAAATTACTCTCATAATATCTTGTTTTGCAAAAGTATTTAGAATTTGTACTGTAATAAGCTTTGTACTAAAGTCGATTGCTTGGGTACCTCTGTCCCATTTATGTTTCTACCGCGAAGCAGTTGTGTTTGCATGGCTGTGTTTCGGTTTGAAGGGTCGGATATGGCGTGAATTTACAGGGTACAGAGGAATAACACCTGAGTCCTCAGGAATGGCAACGCATGGGGGGTATCATGGGTGAAACAGTACACTCTGTTATGTCCATGGTACTACTCATGTCTATAGGCGACGGTTACCACTTTCCATCAGGTGGGCCGTCAGCTTGTTTGCCATTCTAAGTTGTATAAAAAAAAAAATAAGCTCATTGAAATGTTTTTATGCATGATAATGGAATCATAATGCCTCCTGCGTTATCGGTACACGTTGGTGATGCATCAGTGTGTACAAGAAAAAACATGTACATACAAATTCTTAAACAGAAAATTTTAAAAATCTTTGTGTCTGCATAATAAACTAATTTGAATATTTAACTCACTGTACATATGATTCCGAAAAATTTGGCTCCTTTACTCAATTTAATGAAGAAAAAACTGTTGGTTTTGAAACACATTTTTCCTTGACTAGTACAATCTATAGAATTGTAATTGTACTAAATATACGTTTACCCAGTTCGATATTAAAGACACAACTAAACTGATTTAGGTATTTTACCCAAATTTATATCATTGGGATTTCGATAAGATCGATATAAATATATATATAATATATATTCTGCTCGTAGTTCACACTGTGTTCGTTAATAAAGTAACATGTATAGTCCAGTAAGTCTTGTAATGAGGGAGGGGGGTTTTCGTTGAGGTGCTTGTGTTCGAAGAGTTTTCAGGGGTGTAAAACTGAGGGGGGGGGGGAGGTGTAAGTGAGGAATTGCGGCTAGTGGTATTTTGTACCATATCTGGCCTATTTGATGACGTGAAAAACGTCATCATTATGATAACCGATATCCGATAACTATAGGGTAAATTCGAAATTTAACATGAATGGTTCAAACTTTTTTATCGTCTATCATTTTCCTTTGTTTTCATTGGCAGAACAGTTCCTTCAAAATCCTAACGATTTCGATTTCACCTTATATATGTATGGAATACTGAATACCCAGTAATAACCGATATTGAATACAATTGTGTCGAGATAACATATTGCGCCAATATATACATATTGAAACTACAGATATGTTTTTATAAGTGTCATATAATCACATCAGATGCCTGGGATTCAAGCTAGGATACCATGTGTTATTAGAAATCAGGCAACGAACATTTGGGGGTACAATCTAGAACATCCAGACTCTAATCAATTCAGAAAAGTTTATTTTGTAAATTCGTCCTATCTATGCAAAGAAACTTGCCCACCATTACGCTATGAAGATCATAGGTCTGCATCGCCCATGCCTAATGAAAGATATATTGCCCATGCCCAATGAAAGGTATGTATTGCCATCAGCGCAGCAATGAATGTCTATCTACAGCATATTATCTACAGCTATAATCTACAGCATATTTTGATATGAAGAAGAAACAGGGCTGGAGATAGTATATAACCTTTCAGAATACCAGCATTCACAAGTTTTGAGTTTGCATATGCTCTATGGACAAAATATTTTATCTCTTCAATCTCAGCTAAGGAGCTGACATTAGATTGCTTTGTAAGGACCCTAATAAGATTTAAATAGATGGAGATTATATTACAGTTATTAAAATTTTACAAATAAATTCAATGTCAAGATTAATATGAACAATATACCTACGTATGAATGTTGTTTGTGATATTGCAGCCAATAAATCTGTCACACGCTTATCAGGAGACCTGAAATTTCATTCAACAAAGCAGTGATAATACGAATCTTGTGTCGCGTAAACGTACTTCAATATATATTCAATTTAAGTACATGTATTTTATAAATGATTTCTCACGCATTATGGACGTTTGCATTGCAATTTTATCTCTTAATATTTGTGTGATACGGTGGAAATGAGTGTGCCAATTGTGAAGAAGTGTTGTTGTTGTGTTAGCCTGCGAACAGCTACTTTAGTTATCGGATGTCTTTATACGGTACGTTATTTGCTAGTTTATCACTTTCAATAACATTTTGTTTTGGGATTGTGCCCTTTTACATTTACCTACCGATCAGTTTTTATAGGCAGACCTCTAAACGATTCGTTAATCCGTGTGGTGATAGGTAGATAACAGTGTAAAAATAATGCTGCTTTGATTTCAAGTAATGTAACAAAGGAAATAACGAAAATATGATATGACGATGCTGAGTGATTTTAATGGAGTGTTGTATATTACAGGTTTTTTTGTTTAGATATGATAAACAATTCAGATTTTAAAATGAACATCAAAACATTTAGTGGCAAGTCCTGTTACTTATTTGATTTGTCGGCTTTAGTATTCATTTTATTGAGCAACATTTATAGAGGTTTAGAAAGAGGGTTTATATATAACATTTAATTAAATTTTTCATTGTTCAAATGATATTTTTTTTGCATATTCTTTACTGTATTACCGTAAGGTGGCGATTAGGTATCAGTGATATCAGCGTGATAACGAAATTATCTTTGGCCGCAACCTTGTGATATAGAATGCACAATATTTTATGTCGTGTTTACACTAAATATTTTTTTAAACTATAATAAATATACTACTATAATACTTGCATATAATATAAAGAAATCTTAGCATCGTAATTAATGCAGGTATAGATAGTATAGTGTATTTATTGTCTTAAAATTTCATGGATAGATAAGTCTGTTATCAGTGAAAATTACAGAGAGAGGCTAAAATTGAACAATGGATACCTAAGTAAATCAATAATTATAGGAATAGACGTTTAGTTCTTTGTTATGTTACTACGAGAAAATGGCTAATCGAATTCACGACATTGAGTGTATATAAGTATTTTATTAAAATTAAACAAATGAGTTACTAGATGCAGCTTGACCTATCCATTATACGAGCTGGGTTCAGAACTTAGAGGTACGTTTAAATTGAATGTTTTCACAATTACGAAGAAATCTGTGAAATGATTCATACGGATACCTACCTACTACTAATAATAGCGCAGACCTTGTGAAACTATAACCTTGCGTATGATAAAAAAATAGAACATATATATTTTAGATACACAATCGGGACTTAACGTTGGCAATAAAGAAGCAGTTAGGTAGGTATTATTTACCTGTAAGGGTTTTTACATCGTGTTAAGTCCCGATTGTGTAATTGAAATATGTGTAAACAACGCGAATGTTTAATCAGTTATATTCAATTAGTTTTATTTATTAACATTCATTCCGGAAATTTTAGTACAAACAGCTATTTTATTGGCAGAATCAGCGGTCACTCGTATAGTGCCACATCAGACAGTGTATAGTTTTGAAAAATCTACAGTATCTTTGGGAATAATTTTAGTTTTGATGGTTGGCAGTGTTTCTCCTTTCCCGATTCTAGTTCCACGACAGGATTTTCGATTATATTGATTGTAGATGATAATAATTTAAACAAAAAATCATATAAAACACAAAACTGCTATTCCTTTCATGTAACATCCAAATAAATATGTAATGCATGTATGAAGCATAATAATATATAATTAATAGTTACATATTATTATGCTGTGTGGAAGTAAATATCGTGAAAATAGTTTGCTGTCAATATGAGTTGTTTTGTATTTTAAATAAAGCTTAGGAAATAAACTGCAACTGCTTTGTTATTTAATTTGAGGATTAGATAATTAGCGTGATTGTGATTTTTTTGGAATTTGATTTTAGATATGGACCCTAGCAGAGCTGATAGGATCGTGCGTGCTGGTGACCTTGTTGCCGATTGGAACGGATGGGAAGGTGTCAATTCACAAGAGGGTGCTTTATATAACCGCAGTTGTAGTTTGCTGTGTGCATTTACTGTTCTCAGTACTTTTGATCGTCGCTGTTATCAAGGTATAAAACTTAATTTATTATTATACAGCATAAAAGAAAATATAGGTTATTTTTATTATAGTTAGAATGGAAAACAAGTGACGGCTTACCTGATTAAAAGTGGTAACCGTTGCTTATAGACACGAGCAATACCATTGATAATAGAATAACCTATGATGGCCATGGTATATATATCTAGAGAAAAGATGTCTTGGATTGTTTTTTTATGGCTGATAATGGAATGGCAACCTCTCCTGCGCTATCGGTATACACTGGCGGGGCACCAGTGATTGGTGAGGATGAAAAAGCAGGTCAGTTAGCCCATCATGACGAATTCAACGATAAATTGGTCACGATGGATTCCAGCGGGAACCGCGTAGAGGTCGACCTGATAGGGTATATTGAGAGCAATGGGTACTAACAATCCGTTCTCCTATCTCGGATTGTTAGGCTACAAAGGAAACAAAGCTTTAGGTTTCGAAATATATTTGTCCGTGATTATAATACTTTACAATTTCAATAAAGATAATATAGATTGTGTTTAATATTAGTAAAAGTAAACGTTTACTTAATACGACATTAAAAACATATTTAGATAGATATTTATATAACTTTCGTTTTGATAACTAATTTAAAATTCTGATTTCAATTTGAATTTTGCTCTCTTTTCAATACGAGGCATGGATATCGGTATCGAATCAATATCTATATATTAGTTTCCATTGGACATTGAGGACGAAAAAAGTTCATCACTCAATTCAATATCGCTCATACCAGTCCGACATTTATATTCATTTAGACAGGGTCCTTCATTTAGTTATTATATTCTACATAAGCGATATTGTATATATCCGTTATTTGGCCATTGTATAGATATTGCAACTAAAATATATAGATATTGGTATATATAACTCATTTTTACCTCCTATACAAAAAGTCACAAACGAATGTATTTATCGTCATTTCTAGTGAGTCCACAAGCAGAATAATATGGCGACATGCGCTGTCTTGTGCTTTCTCATGTGAGCGTTGACCGAAACGTTTTTATCGACGGATCGTTTACCACTTCTCTAAGTGGCTTGATTATAGGATAATTATATATTTGTATCTATTCTTTGGCGACTCTATACCTCGGTAGTAGCGTGCGTAGATAAACTTATTATCATTATTGCCTCTAGCTGAGATTGGGGCAATATTTAAGTACAATAAATTATTATTTAAATTAGTTATTACAATAAGCTTAGTTTCCGATATGATAACTGTTGATCATCTAAAACGTCACATCCGGTATATTATTTAAGCTACATCTACACTTATAAAATCGTTTGTCCTACCTGATTATCAATGCATAGCCAAAACTATTAACGCTCTTTTTTATAAAAAGTAAAACCTTCTACAAATCTAACTATTGCACTGTTTTGTCACTTTCTTTTAAATTTGGAATTTAATGTTTAAAGAAAGAGATAACCCGTAAAACTTAATATGTTTTTTAAACTGCCTTACCGCGTGGCATAATATGGGCCACTTCTTCCATTTTCGTGGGTATCGTAAAAGGCGACTAAGGGAATTTAATAGGGCAGTAGCATTTTTCTTAATACATCACCAAAGTCTAACTATAGTTGCCAACCTGCCTCTTGCAAAGCATGGAAACTACTTGCAAAACTCCCCTTTATGGGAGAGGCCTGCGTTCAACAGTGGATAATGGCTGATAGTGATGTTTTTTAAATTACAGAAGTTGCCAGTGTTAATGTTACCTTGGACGATTGTGACGGGTATTATCTCGGCCACGGTTTTCGTAATGTCATTGATGGGCATGAGCTTGGTGCTGCAGGATTGGGGAGACATGTCTGTCGTTGACGCCACCTTCGTGATTATACACTTCTTAAGGGCTTGTAAGTACACCAACTGTGTTATGTAATGAATACATAGAAGATTTTAATGGGCGTTAATGGAATGACGGTTCAGCTTGCACTATTTGTATATGCTGGCGGGTATTGGCGTACTTATTTTCCAGGGAGTGACCAGGTCCGTTAAAGTACGCTCCCATCCTTGGGTGTAAAAAAGACGCATATATGTATATGTTCTCATATACGTTTTATTCCGTCGGAGTTTGAAATCAACATTAGACGTTTCTGTAGTAGGTTCAACCCATTTTAAAATTCCTATACTGACGGGATAGCAAAGAAAATGATCGTGATACTTTCATCAAGAATTAACCACTATAATTAAAATGGGCATCGCATGGAGGTGGGCCTGATAAATATATTGCTTAGCGTTGGGGCCAATAATCGTGTACTATGATACATGAATACAAAAAATTTTTGAAAATCACCTTAATTATCGGCTTCGTATACCATCGACATATTATGACGAGGACTGTCGTAGACATGAACTGCACAAACTAGAGGCTATCATCTAGTTTTAGTTTTAGACATAAAGTACTGGATATGTGTTTTCTTCACGACATTGTGCGAAAATGTCGTATAGACTGCGAAGAATTAGTAACTGCCATAGCATTCTGCGCGACATCGCGTCGAACGGGGCACACACCCCTGCTGGTCGTGCCTCGCCGTGCTTCAAACTTCGCAGCCAATTCACCTCTTACACGAATTCCTCGAGTTTATAACAATAAATTGAGTAACGTGGATTTATTCTTTCAATCTAAATTCACATTTAAGAAGCTTGTTATAAGGACTATACGATACTATACGATTATAATCAATAAATAATGTAATTAAGTGAAATCATAAAGGCGGTGTGATTTCCAATTCCAATTATTCTAAAAGCACAGAATCAATTCTGTACTTTTAGAATAATAAGAAACCTGTTATTAGAATGAATAAATAATATTTTTGTTTATGTTATATATATAATTCCTGTTCCTAACTATTCTCTTTGAGGGGGGAAGAGATTGATAGTAATGCGGACTACCAGACCCATTGCTAGCGAGATACCCCGTCAGATCAACCCCCACGTGGTCCCCTCTGGAAATCATCGTGCTGAATTCATTACTTACTGGTGCCCCGCCAGCATATCTCCTTAGTGCAAAGCTACCATTTCATTACTATCCGTTAAAATAGAGAAGATTTGAACACATTTGCTAGAATACCACTCAGCTCCTCAGCTGTGTGGTATTCTAGCAAATGTATTCAAAGGTTACATGCTTATACTAATACCTAGTTTAGAAAATAGTCTGAATCATCATGTAAAAGAGAGACTTGATAAGAAGTTAATAATAAATCACTAATCGTAATAAAAGTTTTATATAAAGCTAATACTAATTCGTAATCGAGAACGATTAGTTTTACCAACACATTATTTTATTGTTGTAGAAACCTTATAATATGTTCATGTAATAAAGTACTTATACTCATTCATTTATTCATTCAGATTTTTTTATCTTATATGTTTTTTTTTATACCACTGAGGTGGCAAACAAGTATACGGCCCACCTGATGGTAAGTAGTTACTGTAGCCTATGAACACCTGCAATACCAGAGGTATTACGCGTGCGTTGCCAACCCTGAAGAAACCTCTTTACCCCCCTTTTGAATAACCCCATGCTGTAGTCTCTTGGGAAAACCTCTGAAAATGTATATACAAAATATTATATTTGTCGTGTGGTCCCGTCAAAGCATAGGATTCCCGTCTGGTATAGAATAGCACACCCCTTCCATTCCTGTGGGTGTCGCTTACGCCTCTTAAGGCGACAAAAGGAACTTAATGGTCGAGGGATGGGCAACAGTATTCTTCTGAAAACATTTTTGAAAGCCTAACTGTGGTTGCCAACTCGCCTGCCAGGAATGGCAACTACTGACAATACTCCCCTTATGGGAAAGGCTTACGTTCAATAGTAAACAGTGAACGGCTAAAATGATGATGATGATATCTATACAAAAATATATTCATAGCAGTAGTATAGTAGGAGTTTTCGTATTATTTTTGCAGGTATATCAGCATACTGCATAGTGGTTGTACACAGTTACCATAAAGATATGATGAACAAGCAAATAAGAGGTACCATGTACAATAAAGTGAACACGGAAGACACAAGAGAACATAATACAAGAGAAACTGCAGATACACCTCACGTATAATGAAGCTATCACGTGTAAGAACGTGTGTTGAAGTACACCATATGCCGTGGAAGTAACAAAAATGATTTTTTTTTGCAGAGGCTAGATAATACCTAGATATTTATACTTACACGTATGTCAATGTATGTGAATAAAGTGAAATTTTATCAATCAGAGAAATGTTATATTACATATTTTATTCCGTGTTATTTACCAAAGAATGTATTCTGTAATTTAAAAATATTATTAGTATCTACTTATTTTACAATTATGGTTGTTTTATATTAATTATTTTTTAATAATAAATTAATAAATAATTTACGTACGCTTTGTTTTGTGTTCTTTTTTACAATGTGGTTATTTCCAATATAAAATAAAAGTTTACACATTACCATGGTAGAGAGTATAAATAGCCTAATAATCCTTACTAATTCTTATTAACAATAATTGTAAAAGCGAATTTGTCTGTTTATTATTTCTTGGTGCCAACTCCACCAATAGTCATGAAGTTCGATACCCACGGTAGTACATAGAGTGGAGCAGGACATAGGCAATCAATATATTATTCTGCTCGCTTGGACGAAGTCGTGTGTAGGAAATAGAAAATAATAATATTTTTGTACGTACAGGCAAAGATAGTTAATATTACAGGCATGGCAGGAAGCACTGAAAATAATTTTTAGTAATTTCCATAAGAATGGATTCCACGGTGACGAAACTGCGATAAAGCAGTCAAGTATATACGAGGACTAATAACATAGTACAAAGAACTACTTACTTTATAAAGATTCCTTAAATTGCGCTCATGTAATAAAATTATAACTAGACGATAATAAAAATTGATACAGGAGCAATAAAAGTAAAAAATATTAAGAAATTTTGTCTGTCTGCTTGTTCCGGTATTATGCATAAACTACTATACCAAATTGGACACGGTTTCCACAGTTGTGTTCCTGAAGGTTTAACTTAAAATCCTGTATGTTTTATTTTGATACGTCTATTTTATTGGTTGTCCTATTCCTGAAATTCACGAGTACGAAGTACCAAGCAAAAAGTTAGTACTATAGTAAAATCGTAAGTGTTAAAAAGTACTCTGTTAATACGAATTAATTTTCGATTGAATATCGAAATAAGAAATTAGATAAGAACCCAAATCATATATTTTTAAAGTTGATTATTTCTCGTTTGTCAATGTTAGATAATCTATTCATTTATCAAGAGAAAATGGCTGAACGGATTTGAATAACATTTTTATGACTTACTGTGTCATAACATAATAATATCTAATGATTTTACCATTATGATATAATAGGAAAGCAAAATGCATTTACATGAAAAGATTTATAATTTTTCGCGATAATGTTGTAAACGTGTCTCGTGATTCGCGGTTCCATAGAGATAGGAGGGAAAAAATAGTTACCTGTTTGCTTATGGATGTAGATGAAATGATACATTAATCTGTGCTAATGATAGGTATATCAACAGTGCCGTCGGAGTCACGGACGACTGCAAGCGGCTTCCCCGCGTCTTCGGCAATAGGAGCCGGTAAGAGTCCAGCAGTGCCCACATATCTCCTCCGAGGTATGTGGGTCTGCATGAGCATTTCCCCTCGACAAAAAAAAGTATATCTACAGTGGCTGGAGTTCATTCGCTGGATATCCGTGAAGGATGAGGTCAAGTCGGTGATTAGTTTCAAGAAGTAAATTTCAGAAGATGTCTGCTTAGATACTTATCTATATTGTTAATTATTTTTTCAAATAGTTTTCGTTAATAATTACTGGTAAGTTAATAGCTAAGGTAGGTAACCTATATTAATTCCAAAACTTATAATAAAATTATTTTAATTTCGGTACCCGAACAGCTATTAAAATTTATTTAGTTTATATTTTAGAAATTAGATCAGGAATTATATATAAATACTTTACAATTATATATAAATACTTTACTTAAATGGAAATATAAGTTTTTAGTAAATATAGATTTTTAATTAAAAAATAGTATTTAAGTAAAATAACAAAATTGTAAGACTCTCTTACCTAAGATTATAAAATAAATATACGTTATACTAATCTATGGTTCTTTTTTAACTAAAGGAATCTTTTTTTATAATTAATTATTTTTTATTTTTATGCACTGGCGTACTTAAATTTAATGGTCTGTTCTTGTGAAATTTTTACCTTTATTAACGTATAACTGAAAACATTTCGTGAAAACGCTTCGCGAGTGAGATAACGTTTTTTTTAATATCATTTAGAGAATGTAATCAAATTTTTGTTTAGTGCCCAAATTAGTCGTGATTAGACAAAGAATATTACACTTAATCTTTGTACTTGATATCTTGTTAAATGTCATACATATCTGTCATATTAAATTGTCAATGTCATATATGTTATTGATAGGGAGTGACAACTGTGATTTTATTCATGTTTATATTACAGATTCATAAGAGTAATTTGTTTTTATTAACTATAAAAGTTGGAATTTATTAATATTTTTACTATAGTTTTTACGGAAGTTAATTATTTTATTATACTTCCATCAAGCTGATAATTTTTTGTTTTAATTCGAAATCATCGCCGAATTTTGGTAAGTATGCGGTAACTATATTTTGATTTAAGAAATGTAATCTGTAAGCGTAAACGCGGCATTTTTTTTTAAATATGTTCTAACGAAAATATAGGTTAAAAAGTTATACATAAATTGTTTCTCATTTTATAGTATTGTTTTTTATAACAAGACTAGCTGTTGCTATTTCTATATTAAAAATAATTAAAAAAATATTAATAATATGTTTATTAATATTTAACAGTACTTGTTTCAATTTCGAACTCTAGATAATAAATATTTCGTTTTATTTTATTAAATAATTAAAAATCCTCAAAATCAGACCAAACTGTATAGACATTGACAGATAGATACCTTTTGGAGCTGAATCAAAGGCTTTCTATAAAGTTAATATATTAATTTAATAATTTCGGTAAATTACTGTTTTGTAGGTCATCATAAACTAAAATTATAATAATTTTGACTCAAATCTATTAGAAACCATAAATATTTAAAATACTGTCAATACACAAACAACTCCTCTTGTGTAGCAGATGCTCATAGGCAATGGTAGCCATTTTCCATCAGGTGGTCCATCAGTTTGTTTGACTTCCTAACAATAAAAAAAGAAAATGAATTCAGATTGATCCATATAGTTCAGATGTATATTAACAATATACAACAGTTGCGATTTCAAATTAAAATTTTGAAAGTTTAGAGAAAGCGCCTCAAATTCAATCTCATTGTAAGCATTTACATCTCTGTATTGTGAATAATTATTTACTGTTATTTTTCATTCTCAGAATATTGTTAGAGGTGACTAGGTGAACAATGCATCATACATAGTTTATAATATAAAAGTTCTTACAAAAAATAAAGTACTTTATATTATTAAATAAATAAAAAATACTATCATTAATGTAGATAAGTTGTCAAAGGGAGACTTTGTACAAAAGTCATCTGCTTAGGTATCTCTGTCTTATTGAAGTTTCTGCCATGAAGCATCTTGCTCGCATGTCTGTGTTTCGGTTTGAAAAGTAGGATAAACAAACTCAAACACTTTCTGTTTTAACCTTATGGTTAGTTGTACAAATATATTATTGTGTAATAAAGAATAAATATATGATTGAAATTATAGGGCATGGTGATATAATATTTTATAGTGTCTATAGTATTACTCATACCTATAGGTAACCATTTTCCATTCCAGTTTATCATACTAAGTATAATAAAAAGATCTCAGTATCTGATATAATATAACAGGAAACAATAACTTAAACATCTTAGTTCTCAGAAATGCCAACATATGAAGGGTATCATGACAGGGACTATATATGTTGGTCACCACTTTCCATTAGGTGGGCTGTCAACTTGTTTATTATTCAAAGTTGCATAAAAAATATACTTCAGGAGTGATTGATTATAATCAATAAATTTTGAGGGATTTTTATTTAAGATTATAGAATACTAATGTATTAGTCCCAAATTATTATAGTCATCCCTGTGGAATAAGTTGCTTCACTGCTTTGTATGTTAAGCTCATTTATTTACCCAAACTCAGTGAATGAACATTTCTGTTTAATTTCATAAGAGTAATAAAATAGTTTATCATAAAGATTATTATATTCTCTATAGATAGTCAAATCTAAGACTATAAAAAATACTATAAGATATAGGTGTCTTTTAGGGGTTTATGGGTGAAAATAGAATGGCAGATTCATTTAAGCTGTCGGTAAAGGCTGGTGGGGCATTAGTGGGTAATAACAGATCAGAATGAAGTCAAGCTAGTTAGAATATCCATAGTTTCCAGAGGGGATTGTGTGGAGGTCAACCTGTTAAAGTATATTGTTAGTAATGGGCCCATTTATCCCCATTACTAACAATCCCTTCCTAATATTATAAATATGAAAGTGAACTTGTTTTGCCTAAATGACTTCATAATTTTTTATGAAATGTGGCATTCATGTAGGTACTATATAGGTGAACAAGGAAGATTTTTATCCCGCTCAATGAACATATCCAGGCCTAATTTGCGGTTAAAATGTAACCAAATAATACACAAATAATACAATATCATCTATAGTATTTTGTAATTAAAAGCATATTAAAATAAAGGTAAATTGTAAATCGACTTTTACAACTATGTTGAATATGACACTTGACATGCCTATAATCCGCCCAACCTACCTTTAATTGAATTAATTCGATTTATTATCGGTGTTTTCCGTCATCGGAGAATTAGTCGGAAAAATAAATTTACACTATGTATGGTACCGGATAGATTTCAAGAGATGACCTTTGTAGTCTATAAGTCGGAGTAGTGTACCACTACTCTATGACGGTCTTTGCCATTTGTTTATATCTGTGGTATATCATGTACGTATGTACTAGTTTTATCTGGTATTCAATTAATCTATATACAAATTCTACGTATAGAGATGGATGACAGTAACGAGTGAAATGAACAATGAAACGACCTTGATGGGTGAAGTTCAGTATTGCCAATAATAGGTGTAGCGGGATTCTGCGCGGGCGCCGGTCCAATTTACGAGCTGGTATTTATATAAAAACTATATCAGGTCTATCAAAAGATTGTATAATTATATATATATCAATACTAAGGTTAACAATTTTATTATAAAATTGGTCAGCATAGTAAAAATAAACATGCTTTAAAAATTTAAAAAGCTAATTATTATGCATGGGAAAAACTATTTTATCAGGGTTAATAATTGACCAGTCTAAATTTGTGAACAGATTTCCTAAGTCAGTCAGGTATATATATATATATATATATATATATATATATATATATATATATATATATATATATATATATATATATATATATATATATATATATATATATATATATATATATATATACATATATATATATATATATGACATGAATGATTAATGTATTATGTACTTCACTAACTACCGATTTCGCAGATTGTTCGTAAAATCTATTTAGATTGATAATAGATAATCTTATTATTCAGAAAATAAGAGTTCGGTTTACATTTACGAGTTAGATTTAGGTAGTTAATCTATGATATAACCCATATGTTAAGTATTACTTTTTATATTTCCTCAATTTAATAATGCACCGCCTATTTATTTCTCGGTTTGCCCAATAGTTGACTGGTAGAGAACACCGTCCGGTATTAAGTCCGTCATTTATACATAGTTTTACTAGGCTTTAAAATATAAATAAATAAATATAAAAAAAAATTGTTGTATTTAAATTGGTTAAAACGTACGCTTGTCGCTTATAACTTACGGTGTAATATAATTATTGACCACTTTATAGACATTTTATAAATACACGGATCTTGTTGTTTTCTTTTTTGTATGCACTTGTTTTAACGGTAATTCGCCTGCGGGAGACCGGAGATGACGGACGATAACCTGTGAGTTCTCTATTATTATTTACTGATCTGTGTTCTCAGTTTCATTTTTGTGGACTTATGTTCGGCAAGTTTAGCTATTTCTTGAATGTATATCTTCCTGTAAATTATTTGAAAATATCTGTAATGTTGCCCTCTGAGCATTTTTCGGCATTTTCATTTAATAACCCGTATCTCTGGCACATATCAAATGTTGGCTGATAGAAAATAGTTATAGCATTAAGTTCGCTTTTTGTACATGTCTAAATAAATAAATAACTCCGAATACGATCATAACAACGATATTTATTCGAAATTAAGTAGACTCTTTTAATAATATTTTAGAGTAAAAAATTTATACGCAAAACGCGACTTATTTTCTGCGGCTAATATTTCATTTTTATCTGGAATGCCAACATCCGTTGGCTCATTTGCCATTCCAAATTGATTTCAATTCGACAGTTACCACATTCCATCAATTGTCAATTTGATGGAATGTGGTAACTGTCGTCTATAGATATGAACAGCACCAGAACACATCCTGACACCTATGATAAGTACTTCTCTTGTGTTACACGCATGGGACAGAGATATCTAAACAGACGACTTTCATATAAAGCTTCCCTCTGATGATCAACTCGTAAGGAGTATCTGGATAGTTAAACTGTCATTTGATTATTTCAGAGCCGCCTCAGTTGCTGAAGAAGAATTGAGTATGGGCGTGAGTGTGCCATACGTGACATCGTTTTGTTGCTGTTTGAACCTCGAGGTTGGCGCCAAGATTGTTGGATATTTACACCTGGTAAATAATATCTTACACCCCTCGTGTTTGTTTATTTTAGCGTTATTTTTAGTTTTACCATATTTTAAATTGCGTTTTTTACGCCACTTTGAATGGCAAATAAGCTGAAGTGCTGAAAAGTAGCGACTGTTGCCAATTGACTATAGCACTGTAGACAAAGTTTGAAAGTTAATATCGTCATCATACCAGCCGTTAACTGTCCACTGCTGAACATAAGGCTCCCCCATAAGGAGGTTTTTGTTAGTAGTTGCCACGCTTGGTGTGTAGGTCAGCAACTGCAGTTAGACTTTTTTTGACTTTTTTAAGAAGGGTGCTGCTGTCCATCCCTTGATCGTTAATTTCCCTTAGTCGCCTTTTGCGACAGCCACAGGAAAGGCCCTGCTCTGCCCATTCTATGCTCGGACCACACGGACAAAGTTAATATAGCATTAGAATACGCTGTGAAGCATATGTGTTGCTATTCCTAAAGTGTTATGCTTTCGTACTCGGTCGGTAATTTCTTGCAATATTGGATAAAAATAAGTGTCTTGGAAAAACTTTTAAAGAAAAATAATAAATATCTGCAGTTAGTTATTATATAAAATAAATCTCTATTTCAGGTAGCTTCCTTAATATTGACGATTCTGAGCGCGTGGATTACGTCTGGTATCTACGATAATATAAGCACAGTGGAGGACGCGGGCGACCATGTATATTCGCGAGCGTATCCCATCGCCCTGGCAGCGACGATTGCCTCTATCGCACACGTACTGCTCGCTTTATTCCTGCTTCTGTCTGCTTATAAGGTAAACAGTTGAATATCGGTTATTCTTAAATACTAGATTCAAAATGTTATCTTTCGACAGTTTAACCCAACGGGATTCGAACCCTCATCTCTCTGCTAACCGGGCTGAGTGTGTTCTCAGTTACACCACGAAAGAAAAAAGGTGTAAGTCTGTAAATGTTTTCAACAACTTTTTTTAAACATTTAGTATGTCTGCCGTTTTATTAGCATTTTAAAATTTTATTTTTAAAAATTTTGATATAAATCGTATATGTTTTTTTTTTTTTTGTAACAAAACCAATTTATAAATAACGCTGAGTTTTAGGTTTCTTGCGCTATGAAAATTATGTTAAAAGATAAATACAGTATCATCAGTAGGTAATATGAAATCATACGAAATGGTAATACTCGTGTTATAATTCGCGTAAAGCAAACTTTTAATCTTTCTGGTCTCATCTTTGCTTAATTGCTTATCGTCAGGGCGCTTATTGTAATAAGAGAGAGTATTTGATGTAAAATAATAAGCAAAGCAATATAAAAAAAGTAAAAAGAATTTATAAATAGATTCCTATTTAATTTTTGCTATAATCATTCTTTTTATAAAGTATTGTATAATGATTGGATGAGGGCCCAAAATTAAACATCTTCACACAAGTATATACATTAAGTATGGGTAATATGGATACCGCTCCGATATTTACGTATTGGGTTCCTTTGGACATTGATCGGGAAAAGGTATACGTTAGGAATGTGAATGTGAATACCAATCCGACATCTATTTGGGCCATTGTGCGTATGGATATTGATGCAGCGGTCCAAAAAAGGGGTTCTTCGGTCATTCACGGATATCTTTTCCGAATATATCTAAACGTTGATGGGCCACAGCCTCATCCAATATAGCAGCCGTTTTTCGGCTTTGAAACACTTTTAATATATTCTGTCTGTGGCTCCTATTGTGTATAGATGTTTGTTTAATGGACAATGACCCGTTATTGTCCCTATCATAATTTTGAGGTTTTTTCTGTCTAATGTAATAAACGTTTTGATAGTCGTTGATTAAAAAAAATCAATTTTGATTGTCTGCAATCATTGCTTTCCATCTTTGGTTTTGTATGTCAAGGATCTTTGACGAATCCACATTCGAAATTGTGAGAATGGAAATGGTCGCGCTCTGGTTCCTGAGCCTTTCCTAGCTAGTTCGTCTGTGGCATCGTTACCATAAGATCCACTGTGCCCTCTTATCCATTGGAGGATAATACGGTTATTGGAAGATATCCTATCCAGCGTTCGCGTTATCTAAGTCTGTTTTTTTTGGGTGAAAATGGTATATACCCCGCCTGCGCTATACGCTGGTGGAGCACCAATCAAAATAGATGAGAATGAAAACAGATTTTTAATATCTGATGAATTCATTTTTTTAACCATGATAGTTTTGGATGGAAACGGGAGGTGACCTGGTTGGGTATATTGATGGAAAGTGGTTACTAACAATCCCTTTCCTATCTAAAAGTCTGTTATCCAATATTACTTTTTGGATAACAGATTTTTAACGTATTCGTTACTGGACCAGTATATAGATATTGTAACTACAATATACAGATATTCTTATAATCCCTAATTTACATATCGTGAATATAACAAAAAAACTATCTAGAAATATTGCTTTTCAGCGGTGGTGCAATGGTCTCCGATCGTGGGTATGGATAATGGTGGCGCTCTGGGTTGCCGGGTTGCTGTACATCGTGGTCTCTTCTGCTCTCTCGGGCTTCGTCGATTCCGGTTCGGACATATTCCTCGCGTTCGCGTTGGGCGTTGTATTTTTTGGTATGTTATATACATTTCCATTATTGGCTGTTTCCATACAATCAAAATAGGGGAATGGATTTTTAATATCTAATATTAGTTTTTTTTTATGTAATTTTGGATGGCAAATAAACAGATAGTCACTTTGCAGTTCCGTTAATATATAATTTTATCGGATTAAATTCCACGCGGTCCAACCAGAAAATAATCGAATGATTAATTAATGAATCGTCGCGATGGACCAACCATCATTACTAGCTGTGCAGACATGTCTCGAATACTTTTACTTGGCACTTTGAATAATTAGAAAACTCTTATTTAGGAAACGGTTACCAAAAAAACAAATTTTATATTTTCAGTGGTGGTCGGTTACTGCATTATAACTGTAAACAGTTATTACTTGATGCTGAAGAGCTCTGAAGACATGGAGGGACCTGCGAAGATAGACTACTGATCAAAATTTTTGTGGTAACTATATGTTATTGTTATGTTTTTATAATGGATCTTAATGTTTACAATCGTGTTGCGATAAAATAATTAAAACATTTTTAAAGTCTTATAAAGAAAATAAAAACCAAGCTGCTGGCACTAATACTGAATATGGTATATAAATCTAAATATATTGTTAAGTTATATTAAAAAAAAAAACAAATTCTGTTAGCGTCATGGTTATTCTTGCAACAAAATTTTATTATATTGGCAACACTTCTATTTTTATTTGGTAGGGACCGTAACCGACGTAAATCCGTAAACGGTCAAGCGATTTGGATTAGGCATGTCTACGTTGCTTTTCATAGCAAAAAGCTTTTTGCTTTACTAGTAGGCATGGGTTATACAAACTGTATGTAGTAGCAATATTTTTAATGACGTCTTTTGATATTTGACAAATATATGACCTGCAGACAAACTACATATTAGATATTATTCTCTACAAATGTTTAACCAATCACAGATATTAAATAACTCTTGTAGAATAACATGACTAAGTTTGTGCGCGAATCAGATAGGGTGGTAACGGCAGTTTCTTAATATTTTTTATTGTTTTGAGGTGAAATAATATATAATGGTGTATATAATTATAATAAAAGAAATATGTCACGTTTAAATACGATCTTATTATGCGATAATTTAAATAAACATGACTTACCACAAGAATGTATAGAACCATACCTACGGCATTCAGTCCTAGCACTCTATTGTTGTTGAGCCAGGGCTCTTGTATCAGGGCTAGATCCAGGTCAGAATTGCGGAATGTTTTTTCTAAGATTGCAGGTGGCTCTTTGGCATAATGGTGGTTGATCTGGTTAGTCTTGGCCGTGATGCAATTAGTGCGTGTGGGCGCTTTATTGTTTCCCTTTCGCATTCTTAGTAGAACGATGTCGTCCTTTTGAGTTGATTGGGAGCTTTGGCGTCTCTGCCGCGTGTGGGTTTTAATCGGGGATTCCTTGCCTTTGGGATCCCGTTAGTGTCGGAAGGGCTACCTTTTGTGGCTTTAGAGTTCCTGCCGCCAGTTCTCACATGAGGTTTAGGCGTCTGCACCTTTGTGGTATCTTCGCCTGTTCCTGACAAATACAAACTATATTACCCACTCCTATCTATTTTCCATCATACGAGTCGCAATAAATTGATTTACATCAAGCCGCATGATCGTTTACGGATTCCTTTAATCCTTTTTTCAGCATTATATTGTCAAAATTATTACATTTATGTCAATATATGATTATTCAATGAATCTATGATATTATTTTCTTGGTCTGCCTTGGTTGTTAGACTTGATTACTAGCAGAGTAAGATGAAGTTAAGTTTGTTACGTATTAGATGTTGTGTATTTATATTAGTCTTTTAAGGTGCTTATGTACTGGGATTGAAATTGTTATAAAATAGAATAATATTTTATGATTATATTTATTGCATGGTCAGAGTCGGTAGTTGTAGGCGACTACAGTGGTCTCAATTAACTGTTGTTTAAATGGTCAAACTGATAATTTTAATGAATGTCATGCATTGACTTTATACAAAAGTTGTCTTTTGAGTACCTCTATTCCACCTGTGTTTTTGCCGTGCAGTGTTGACATGGCTGTGTTTCAGTTTGAAGGGTAGGATATAGTACTAATTGACAGGGTGCAAAGGCATTACTCTAGTCCTGTGGAATAAGGAATAAAAATAAAATTGCATGTAACATAGAATGGTAAACTGATAGCTCATCTGATAAAAGTACTAACCTTCGCATATAGACATGAACGGAAGCATTACGACATACATTACGATGCCAATGGTATGCCTCATATGTTGGCATTTTTGAGTCGCAAATATTATAATTTAATAACTAACTTTCATAAATAAGCGACGGTTACCACTTTCCATCAGGTGGGCCATCAGCTTGTTTGCCATTCTAAGTTGCATAAAAAAAAACTAAATTACCTAACTGTAAACATTGATGACGTTAGCTTTTGTTGTTCCGTCATATTTCAACGACGTTTAGGAGACGCGTGAAACGTATTACTTGTCTGTTTTTTAACAGTTCGTTAACAGTCTATGTACTTAAATTTTGTAAATTTACTATTTGCCATACATTAGTTGAAATAAATAATTTTGTAACAATAATAGTATAACAAACAGTCTTCAACATTTTTCTATTCATATAGTTTGGCGTATAACCAATAGAACAATGAAAATATTTTGAAAGTATTTGTTAGATCCGCTTGCCAAGCGTGGCAACTACTGACAAAATTTCCCATATGGGGAGGCCTATTTTTAATAAATAAAATAAAAAAAAGACATCAAGGCCATTTCCGCTGTACATTTTTTGTTAGCTTTATGTTGTAACTCGTAAAAGTTATTATGTTGGTAGCATTGAATTTACCAACTCGCCTACCAAAATGTTGCTATCGTGCCAATATCGTGATATTTGCAAAAGTCTATTATAATCGAATAACAAAAAAAAAAAAAAAATATTGGCACAATTGTTATAATAATTAGATATAGAAAAATTATGCTCAAGTGGTAGCAGTCGTTTAGAAAATAATATTCTTCCGTTAATTTTTTTTATTATGAAGCATTATCTAGTCAAATTACAATTGGTGTGTTTATATTAGGGGACGTCCATTAATTACATGAGGCTCGAGTGGGGGGAGGGGGGGGGGATTTTACGGAAGTAATCACGAAATATCATAAGGGCGGAGGGGGGGTGGATGTAGTAAGATAACACGTGTATTTATTTTTCGATTCTAAACCGAAAAGCGGCACCAACCTTGATTCGCCATTGCAACCTTAATGTCTGTCTGAAAATTTTTTTGCGATGCTTAATTTTTCATAATTAAATAAGATTATACTTGTATTTAAAGATAACAGTCTGAAACTTGTGTAGTTACCAAATAATGGTACCAAAAAATACACGTGATTTTGGGTAGGTAATTAGTCTAAAACCTCGTCAACTGTCACCACGAAAGGGGGGGGGGGGGAGGTAGGTAAAAAGTTGCTAAAAACATCACGTGATTAATGGACGATCCCTTATTGAGACGATTCGTTTCAATTATACGTTAGGTTTATGTATAAAAATTATAATTGGAATGTATTCAGTATTAAAACTAAATTCTATACAATGTAATATTCGTGATAAATTAATTGATCTTGTAACGATAGCTTTTATATGGTTTTTTACTTACCACATTGTATTGCATTTACAATGTAAGTAGATAGATGGGCACTCTTTATTGTTTTCTCCATAAAATTGCATAAGTAAACTTATTATTAATGCAAACAATTATAAGAAAAGATTACACTGAGGAAGTAGGTAATTTTAGTTTTCAACCGACTTAAAAAAAGGAGGTTCTCAATTCGGTTGTATCTTTAGTTTTATATAGTAAGTTTATTACCTCATAATTCTGTCAGTTGTAAAATGATTTGGAAAATTCTTTCTTTATCTGAAAGGATATGCTTACAGATTGGTCCCGTTGAGATTTTATCAAAAAGGGTTGAGTAGTTTAGTTTTTAAAACAATAACTGGTTTTGCCACAATTGAAGTTGGAATTTTTTTGGGAAACAATTTAATTATATAAATACGTGTGGAAAAAGATGAAGTATCTTATTAGGATTATTTGCATTTTATAAAGTAATAATATATTATTTTATTGATGTAATAATAGTTAATGTAGACTATATTTGTAGGTGTAACGAGACTTTTTAAAGTAAGTCTTTGTATTATCTTTTTGTAGGTTCACATCAAATGTTCTTTGTTTTGACTGAGTATGTGTATGGATAACTACGTAAAATGCTGTCAAAGTGCTAACATATTAATAGAAAAGTAATATGAAAGTGTGTTTTACAAAGAGACCCCTCCTCCAATCTAAAAACTCTATTTTAATTAATTTAATAGTTTATTGTACACACTATTATACATAAAAATATGACAGAGGTAATCAAATGTACAATGGCGAGCTTAACTCTAAAAGAGTTCTCTTCCTGCAAACTCAAAGTGGAAAGCAGCATCAATGTCAGTGTGTAGAGCGGTGTACAATATTGTGAAAATTTTCAAAGGAACTGGACAAAACTAAATTTATACAATTAATACTTTGATAATGTAATAATTTAGTTTAATTCCGCTATCATTATTATTACTAGACTATTACTACCAGAAGTTCAGGTTAAAATTATAGAACTTCTGGTAGTAATAGTGGTGTGTAATCTTTGAGTGTTGGCAGTTACATTCATACTAATGGTAGCGGAATTAAATAAAACAATTTAAATGATGTAACTAGTAATACGGACTTCCTCAAGATAACACCTTCTTCATATAATGTAGTCTCATAATTACAAACTATAAGCAGATATTATATTTATGGTGCAATACAGTAGTAGTATATAATAATTTTATAAATACTATCTAATTTTAATATTTTTTTCTGGTGAGCCAGGTCGGGCACAAAAAGTTAGGTTTATAATTATTTTTTTGAATTCAGAATGGAAAATGTGATGAAATTGCTTACTAATTTTGAATTGAGTATTTTTTTCTGTTTGTAACAATACACATATTCGGTCAAAACGAGTGTAATGTAATCATATATACAGAATTTATAAAAGACCTGCTTGTCTGTGGTATGATAGTCATAAAATTACTTTTTTATACTAACATTTTATTTTTGGTCTGATGAGTTAAATCTAGTACCAAAGGTTAGGTATTAAATATGTTTTCGAATTGGAAACGAAAACGTGATAAAGATTACTAATTGTGACACTTGTAAATGTGTCGTCGACTGTAATACAAAATAGATTAATTATTGACTAGAAGTTGGTACTGATGAGAGCATTTTTTATGCTTTTTACTGGAGCGTATTTTTTTTTAATTATTTATTTAAATCAAGAAAATCTAAGGAGCTACAATGCAGCTTTTAATTTAGTTATGCTCACATTTTTGTATATTATTATTATATATTAATTATATATTCGATTTTTTATATATATTGAGCTTTTAAATATACATTAGTCGTAAATAGCAATCAGGTGCTAGTTGCAGCCAATTATATGATAAAAATGTGCTTTTGAATGGTGTTCGAATTCTACATGCCTTCGAATATTTAAGATGCTTTTACTATTTTGATGTGATTTTTGTATTTGTGTAAGTATTACTGTAAGTCAAGTATAGCATTTTTAAAATATAAAATAGAGACGAATTATTATTTCGAATACTATTTTAGAATAAAGATATGTATTAAGTTTTTAAACAGTGTCTGTATTATTGTAATACGCCTTTGTCTTAAATATAAATATACAGATGTGAAATAAAACGAATATGTGATTTATACATTTTTTTTATTTATCGGAATAACCTTAAACATTACGGTACCGTCCCATTCAATTTGTTTAGTCAATAAATATTTTACAATTCTATGTAAGTACAGAGATAAGTACAGTATACTGTATAAGTACTGTTCAATCGAGCCAACCGGCTTTTATTTCGACACAGGTCACGTGAGACAAATTTTGACAGATTTTGGTACATTGAGAATTATAGCAGATGACATACAAAAGTAGTTAATAATAATTATATGCTTTGTTAAGAATCAAAATGGTCTGCTTTAATTATTATAATTTAAACAGCTGATATGATGATAATGATGAATTACACTTGGAATTAAGCTGATCAAAATATGCTGATATGAGATAAATAAATTAATAAATAAATGTAAGAATAGTTATAGTAATAATAAGAATGTTTAACGTGTCCTATCAGATTACAGTACATGTATTACGAGTCATAGCAGTCAACTCCAACGTTCACAAGACAATCATAGAAAATTTCTATGAATTGTTTCCTTATTAACTTAAATTACAAGAAAAATAGTTGTGGAATGTTTTCGATGTTTGTTTTCGTTTTCGTCTTAATTTCAGAACAGGAGTTACCTTTTTGGGGTATTTACATTTATATAGATTTTTAACACAAACGACTTTTAGGTGAATACGAGTTCTTGATAAAATGCTCACTGAAAACTAATATTGTTTAAAAATTCAATTAGAATTAAGATTTATTAGAGTTACATTTTCTATTGTTTATTTTAGATTTTAAAAGTCTAAATTCAATCAATTATATATTAGGTATTGATAAAATTCATTTTTAAATTCATCTACATAAATATAGCCAATCTGGATGAAGTGTATGTAGATATAAGCTTTTCAGGCTGTCAGAAGGAGACATTTTGAGTTGGTATATCTAAATTTCTAGGCGTCTTAGATCGGCTAGAGGCCTTAGTCGATATTAGAACCCTAATCTAGGAGCCCTGGACAGTATTGTAAACACTGTGTTGCAGATGTGGCCAAAATTAAGCAACATGGATTTTATTTTCCTTTGAATTTTAAAGTTTAATTTATAAATCAAAAGTTACGTGCTAAATATCATAACAATACGTCAATTTAGATTTTTTTTAATATAATTTATATTGGAGGTTTATATGTATATTTGATTCAATGGCAGGTAGGTAAGTACTTACATAGATACATATACTACAAATGTAATGACAGTCAAAACAATTTTCGTTGTTGGCGAAATTTATTTCATAATTTAAATGCAAATCTTGAATATGCATCTCACAGTTACACTTACTATCGGTATTTGGGATACTAGACTCTTAGCAATCAAAATAAATATTTACCAATTTTAACTACTTAATTAAATTCACAGTTCGAAATGTTACACTTACACTACGGGACATGAAACTCTAATAGAATAAGGTATAATTAATCTAAGTGCGTGGGGAATCTTTATACAATCGCTAACACAACGCGGCTACATAGATAAATACTTAACCAAAGGTATTGCACGAAAAACGGGATTTAGTTAAATACTCTACGAACTACAATGTACATAATTACACTTTAAATACGTAGCAGTTTTTTTTTTACAATGTTTCGCGTATCGTATACGCTCATCACACGAGCATTGCCACTTGTTAATCACTGGTTTCATTATAAATGGATTGATTTAAACTTAAATTGTCACATAACTCATATTAAGCATTACTTAACACGATTATGGGCTTTGTCACTGATCGTCACACGCTATATAAGTAATTCTAGTCATGCCACGACCAATTGTATCTAAATAATTATAAATTAAACAATTTACAATTCGTTATACGTTCGATCACGAGTTTGGGCTTAGCAACAGAAAACGATACGGTGTCGATTAGCGAAATATGACTTTATATATCTCTATACCACAGTTTTACAATGACTACTAGTATTTTGCGGTACTAGTGTAGAAGCAAGTGCTTATTGCCATCGTTTGCCGTCGAAACCATAGTGTAAATACGAGCAGTTGCGCGTACGGCGTTAGTCCGACATTAAAGATGTTCAGTTACCGTAGGAAAGGTATTGCAAATCTGTGTCCATTCTGTACAATTATATATCGTGCCAGTTTTTGCACCACACGTCTCCAAGCCCAAAGTCATGGCCAAGCATTTAGACTACAGTAGTTGGTCGTAGCGACTAGTAAAGTATGTGTGACATCGCCGTGTCGGCACGTCAGTAGAGATGCGCTGGGTGCGGGTGCGACGAATGCGGTGGATGCGGGGTATGCGGCGGTTCGAGGGGTGGGGGCTCAGTGCCGACATCTATGTCGGCGGGGCCGTCGTCATCCACTGTCACGCCGCTCGCGCTTCGTGACATGCCCCGAACCTGAAATTTGTATATTATTCATAAAAATCTTGTAAATAATTTTTAATCTATGAAAATTGAAAGGTAACCAACCACACTTGCGCTATTGGTTTTTTCCAGAATCCACTGAGATACTGTTATTTTGAAGCCGAAGCGCGTCGCTACTGGGATACAACGTACAGCGGTGTATATATGGTAAGTTTGCTTGTTTTTAATTTAATTTTTATTTTTATTATTATATTTAATTATAGTTTGAGTGTGTAGCGCTATTGGTTAGGTATGATGACACTTGTGGGATATCAGTGAGGGTAAATAGGTGAGAGTGAAACCAGTTTATTCAACAGAAGTCAATGACGTTCGTTAGAAATTAACCACGACAGTTTTCAGGGAGAATCATGATCAACCTAACAGGTTATGTTGCTATTGTGATTGTTTGTCCCGATTACTAATAATCCTTTTTCCCTCTACTTTCTGTTAGAGGAGTAGATTTTCGGAAACCGACATATACCTATGCATGAGCGAGTTATTAATGTTGTCGAAGCAATTTTCATTTTCAAATTTGTATTGTGTGGTTGTTATAGCTTGAAGGTTGATAATGAAATTTCAGGGTATGGAGGCATATTTAACACCTTAGTTTTCTTCTCATTTATATAGTTAACGATTACCATTTGCTATCAGGTGAGCTCTCAGTATGGTCGCCATATCAAATTCCATAAAAATATTCTGCAATTATGACTGTCTGCTAGTTATTTTAATTAGAACTAGAGAAAAATCTGATAGTCTACCTGTAGAAGTAGATTGTTTGAAAGGATCCTAGCCTGGTGCTCTTGCGCCTTGGCCCGCAGACATGCAATGCTGTTATTCCGGAATGCTTCAGGGTCGTCGTACATCTCCCGGCCCGGCTCCGGCGACGCCCGACCTTTTGCTGAGGAGGACGCTGTTGTACTACTTGCTGGCGAGCTTTGCGCCTGCAAATTGTAAATGTAGACTTTTATTAAAACTCACTTCTATGGATATCAGGCTGAAGTGAAATAAAATCAATCAAGATGATGGGCATTGAAGCCGTATAGTCGTGAAATAGAAACCAAGAACTGGTCAGAGGAAATTCGAGAGACAAATCATGTTTTAAGCTGGTGACTTTACAAAAGGAGTGGACAAAACCTGAATCTGCATGATGAAAGATCTAGTCACTTAGTGAAGTTACGTAGAAACTTATACTTAATAATGGGTTAATTCGAAATTAGGTAGACTAAATTATGGATACCTACCTTGATTCACTCATGGTTTTAGTTGCAAAGCAGCAGTGTAAAGTCACGTAGGCTTTTTTTTTATTGTAGGATGGAATTTGAATGTGAAATTACTATTCATAAGTACTGTTAGCGATACAGTATGTGTGTTTTTGGTCATGGTCTTATTTATGTAGGTATCATTTATCATCATATGGGCTATCAAATTCTTTCCATTCCAAGTCACAAACAAAATATTTGTTCCATTAGAGAAATCATAAGGAAAAAAATTGTCTTATAAACAACCAATACCTATTGTTTCTTATCGCGACAAGTAACTAGACATTGCAACAAAACAAATCAAAACTATTTATATAAATATATGTACTCACTATTAGAAAAAATAGAATAATATTTACCTACTTAACTGTAGCTAGTTAACTCTTCTTTGCATAATGGTGGAAATTTTCATTATAACATTGAATGCCCAAAAATTATACGTAAAAGTACAATTTCACTTTAAGTTGATCGTGTCTGGATACCTTTTTAATGTCCATTGCAGAAAAAAATTATAGCTGTCAAATTAATTGTTTTAACCATTTTTCCTTTAATTTTGAACATGATATATATCACCTTGATTTATTTCACCAATAAAAAAAAAATATGCAAAGAAGGGTTAAATAACTACATAAACACGCGCACACGGTATTTTAACTTCAAATCATCGTAAATCCATAGTTTATTTGATAATGCCAGTAATTAATATATAATTAACAAAATATCTATACATGTCATTTTTTAAATATAAATAATATTAGAAAATTTATGCAATTATACAGTGATCGAACAGGCAATGATTAGCGCCTGTTAATTTCTTAACAGCAATCAGTTACTTTAACAATAAAAAAGAACCATAAAAAGGTAAACTGTTGTAATGGTAACCTGTGGTAATTAGGGAATGTTAAGATCCTCCTGATAACGAAAGTAATAAAACAACCTCACCAATGTACCACAGTATAGCTCATTTATTTAATTAAAGTACAAAATAAACATTATAGTAATATAGTAAGTAGGGTATTTACGTATATTCATCCATGGTAGTACAGACTTTTCTAGATCTAGTGGAATATTTATTTACTTATCCCAAAGTATTTTGTACCTTATATGCTATAAAAACAGGCAATATTTGTATTATAGTCACTGACTTGATATAAATCAAACAAGGACAGATAAATTTTCTAAAACTCTCTAGGTATATAGAAAATAATTTATGCCTTTGTGTCATATTACACAAAAAATAGCCTTTATTCCTGAAATACAGATTTTTTTTTAAATTGTAAATATGTATATATAGCAACATCTATATATATATATATATATATATATATATATATATATATATATATATATATATATATATATATATATATATATATATATATATATATATATCGAAATTGAATAATAATAATAATAAAAAAGTTGGCGAAGTTTAAGTCGCAGTAAGTAAAAAAAAATTACAGACGCACTGAGAGGATTAGGTTTTTAAAGTCATTGAAATTACATAATGCTGAGATATAAACTTTTAAGTTTTATTATTGATACTAAGCTCTAGCGGCCCTACTGCTAAAAATATAACCTGTAAGATCAATCTCTATTTGGAAAATTCTCTCTTGAAAACCATCGAGGTAAATTTATGGTTGTAATTTGTCACTATCGGGAATTGACCTTCTTTCGTTCTTTATCGTTACTCACTGGTGCCCCGCCAGCGTATACCAATAGCGCAGAAGTGGTTACAATATAATTATAAAAAATACATACATACATAATATATATATACCTGGTTATCGTGGTTATCGTGGTGGTGTGGCGAGGCGGACGGCGCACGTTCTACCTCCGGCTCCGAGCCCTCTCGTTCTGACCCTGACTCCTTGAGGTGTTGTGCTGCTTCCAGCGACTTGCGGTGCATGCCTGCAAGTAATAACATACATATATAATATATACATACATATATACATATAGAAGCCGTATATTACAGTAACTTTTGGAGAGAGGAATAGCATATACTTTATCAGGACATCACGAATTCGCCACGATGGGGCGGCTGTTCAATTATCTGGAATCGCATGCATGCGAGAATAGATTATGTTGATTACCTAAGTAAATGAAAATGAATTAAATGCAAAAAATAATATAAAGAAAAAGAACTTTGGCACTTTATTTTTATTTAGCGTTTTAGCGTGTGTAGCGACACTAGTAAAGGATAGAACGACGAGGATGGAATTAGGATAGTTGATCCACGAATGCGGCAAATTCACTAGGAATTAATCACAATTCTAGTAGTAAGGGACAGCATCAATTTATTAACAATCTCTTCTTCCCCATTATCAAAATTCATTATAATTATTACTAAATGTTCCAACCAAATATTTCAGTAGTGTTTTAACTTTATAAATGAAAATATCATGTTAACGGTCAGAATCCACTGAAATAGAATCAGCAGCATCTAGTACCATGGCGCAATGTTGTGAAACGGTAAAAAAATATATAAGATACTTTACGACGCTATGCGTGAAGTCTATGAATTATGTAGTCTGCAAGTGGAGCAACACGAGTCGTAAACGGCCGCCGTGCCACCATACTCGCAGTAATAAATGATAATGAACGGATGCGTCCTGACGAATGGCGACGGCGCCCAATGCATTCTGTGTGCATAGGTATGCATATAGTATGTAGGTAGCTCCTTGTGACACTGTGGCCACTGTAAAGTTGTGTCCATAGCGATAACATGTAACAAAATTATTTTGTTTCATAAGAATGTTGTTACCTACACAATGATTAGCTTAATTTATTAGTTACTTCGGATTTGATTTGTTAGTTACTTTGGATGATATTCTTTACTAGTCGGTTCCTTGCTTAACCCGCTTATTATTCATATCTCTAATTATTTAGGCAAGTGTTATTTTATTAGAAACTGCGAATATTAAACTTTATCAAAATTTAGATTGGAAAAAATTATATAAGATATGTATTTAACAGAATTCATTCTTTGATATAACATTGTAATTTATTTTACAGATACCCTATTTTAGTAATATAAAACATGTTGTTTACTGAATCTTGTACTATTTTAATATAGCGAAACTGCACGAAAATATGTATCTAATAGAAGGCATTAGTAATATACGGATACAGTACAATCTATCTAAGATACAGGCTAGGCCTAGTTTAGACACTAATGTGCTGGGCATAATGCTACATTTTATACACATATAATTCATTTTAAAATTTCTGTAAGCCCATGACTGTATATTTTATAGATAAGAGAGAGATAGATATTAAAACAGAAATCAGCTTATAATGCATATAGGTACCAATGTAATCAATCGAATTACAATATGGACAAAGTATTCCTTGCACAAAATAATTTATTTATTAATCTTTAATACACCTGGAAAATGCAAATAGTGGATTTAACACTATTATGGCGTTACCTATCAGAGGAATAATGTATTCAGAGCATTGTATGTGATATTTCACCACGTGAATCTTGTAAGCCAGTATTTATGAAGCTTGGTTTGTTACCACTAACGTTACTATATATCTATGAAATTTGTATGTCTGTGCAAAGGCATAAATATTTGTTTAAAAAAGCTACTGACACATATCCTCAAAGTCGACGTAATCAAAATAGACTCGTACTGTATAATATTCCATGCTAGCTAAATATGAAAAAAGTTGTGAATATTTTTATGTATTTTGTAATATTATTTGGTATGACAGTTATTATTAAGTCGGTTTATTAATAGGTGCATTTTTTGGTAAGTGGTATCAGTCACCTATAGATATTAATATATTATTAGCTCGCTATTTGTATAAATTTTATTAAGCAATAAAAAATAAATAAATAAATTATTATTATCATTTATTATTACACAAATATTTATATACAACCTAAATAACCTAAAATGTAATCGAATGAACGTATGAAAATTTATTTAAATAATCCCCACTTATATGCAGTCTTACATACACTTAAGTTACAAATAATAACAATGTAATATAGTATAGGAAAAAGATTACATATACTATACATGTGATACCAAAGTTTAGTAGAATTTTAGCTAGTGTCATGGAAATGAAAAAGGATGCCAATTCTGCTTAAAGTTCCTGTAGAAGCAGCACCGCTGATTTGAATTCAACATAGTTTATTGATTCATTATGTACTCCAAGTAAATTACAGAATAGACTTAGACGGAAATTGGTAGATATCTAAAATCTAGGAATAGTTATATATCAACACTTACGTAGTAATGTCATATATTTACATTACTAGCTATTCTGTAGTCGACGTAGATTCTTTATCTGTCGTCCCATCGGAATTTCTTAAAATCCGATCTCAGTAGGTATATCATAAAATAATAGGTTTATTAAATTTTCATTAATAAAATCATGACGATTTTCATAATGTAAAAATTAATATATGTAAGGCGTACTCACGAATTGTCTAACTATCCAATTAAATTAATAAAATCCTACATACGAACGCAAAAAAAAAACCTGCACAAAATATATTTACAACATAAATTAGCCTTTAGCTCTTAGATGACACGAAGTCCTGGAATCAGTTCACATGCCATGGCGTCTCGAGATATGATAGATGGGAGTTGCGAGCTAGTACGAGCTAATTTTGTGAGTTATAGAGGACGTTTAAGCATTTATATGCAAAAAGAGAGGCCATTATAAATTTTGTTGAAAAATAAAACTCTAATAAATAAGCACGTTAGAACTGGCTTTAAAGATATCCGTGATGATGTAAAGCTGTGAGATTTTTATATCTGATGCTATCAGATATCTTCCTAGTAGAGTTATGCGTTAAACTGGAAATTTATTTAGAGACAATTAACTAAAATCAAAATAAACTTTTGCAGTTTTCAAAACACGTTACTTATATTCTATGATATAAGAAATAGTTTCACTACAAACAATATAGCTTTCTATAGGAAACTTCACGTATCTGTAGGTTAATATGACAGCATTGTGAGTTCAATAAATTTAAGCTATTATACAATACACATTTCCCCTGGTGGTCCCGGCATAGAATAGGTCACTACTTCCTTTCCCGTGCGTGTCGTAGGAAGCGGCTAAGGGAACTTAATGGTTGAAGGATGAGCAGCAGTGTTTCTCTTAAAACATCTTGAAGGCATAACTGTAATTGCCAACCTACCTGCTAGCAACTATTGAGAAAACCTTCCAATAGAGAGAGGCATATGTTCAGCATAAATACATACACAAGTTTTTCTTAAAGTAGTATTTATCGAGCACAATTAGATAATAAAGATGTCATTAAAATATTAATTAAGGTTTTTACTTTTCATTCGTAACATTTAGAATATGAATATCTTTCCTAATATTATAAATATGAAAGTGAGTTTGTTTGACTGTTTGTTACCTACTGGCACCTTAACAGCTCATTCATTGCGTACTATTTGGAATAGAGGAGAACTTAAGCTACTATTTATTTTGGTCAATCCAGCTTTCTCAAACACGCGAATGATGTCCGAGATCACTAATATGTTATATTGCTTTCAAAATTAAAAACGCTTTATCTTTTAACTTTGACGTGTAGATACACAAAATATGAAACATAGACGTGTTATGGACATCTTACAGATTTTGAAGAATTTTTTACTACAATTCAAAATATATTAAATATTATTACTATTATATAAGTCTTATATTTATATAGGTCTATAGTTTAATAAACTGGACGTAGCATTTTACGAGATTTTTACTGGCGCGTCAGTCTCCACTGTGAATACCTAATCAGGGGATTTATTTATGAGCAGCATCTCCCGGCATTAGACTGCTTGCTGTAGGGACACTTAGGACACAGGGCGCGTACACAATACAGCGACTGCAAAAATGAGTTGTGGTTACTGGGAATAAATTATCTTATTATGAGATTGCATGGAATATTCTCATACTGTCCACGCTTAATGCGGTCAACTGGGTAATATAAAATACTTTATATAGAAAATAAGTTGTCCTATGCTTTGTATTGCGTTTTCACAATAAATATATCTTTATGCAAATTTAATATATGTTTCTAGATATTATAGTATACAAATGGAGAGTTTATATCAAGTTTTGTATTAGAGTTTATACTGTCGAGGTGTTTCCTAAAGACTACATCATGAGGTTCTTCAAAAAAGAAGCAAAGAGGTTTCTTCAGGGTCGGCAACGCGCGCGTAATGCCCTTGGTATTGCATGCGTTTATAAGTTGCGGTAGCCGCTTACCATCAGATAAGCTATATGCTTAGTTGCTATCTCAGTGGTATAGAAAAAAATAGAAACGTTTTATTGATACTGTGATATCTTTAGGGATTAAACATTATTTTTCTTATTTAAATGTTACGATAATTATTCCATTATCCATTTTCATGTAGAGGTACATGTCGCAAATAAAATTTATTTCATGACTTGTACCTATTTAGGAGGAAAAGTTTAGATAGTATAAAGCATTTATTCAGGTTTATGAAACAAAGTCGATTACAGTTGAAAATGCACGAAGAGGCTTGATGAATTATTACTGGGGAAATGATATGCACACAACAGGAAACACAAGGAACTTATAACTATTATTTTATTGTATCAACCGTTAACTGTCCACTGTTAAACATAGGGTGACTTCGCTAGTAGTTGCCACATTTGGCAAACGAATTGACAACCGCAGTTAGGCTTTTGGTAATGTTTTTAGAGGGACGCTGCTGCCCATTCCTCGACTATTAAGTTCCCTTAGTCACCTCTTACTACACCTACGGGAAAGTAAGGTGTAGTTCAGGATAAATTTATTAGTATTTATTAATTATAATAATAGAAAGTTACTTTACAAGTTACAAATGATCATAGTCCTAAATAATTGTTGTGAATGTTTATCACAGGTTTGCATAACATTCAATTAGCCCCAC